CCCATTTCCTTTTGGAATGTTGATTCTGGTCCAAGAATTTCCAACACTCCCCAGAGTCCCACGACCCTCTCTCGGCCCTTGCAGAGTGACGTCAGCTGCTGGGCATCTGGTAGTGATTACCCACCAGGGGAGGGGGCTGTGGTGGGCCCAGCCTGTTCGGCCTGGTCAGGCTCTGGGCGGCTGGTCCTTGTCTTCCGAAGGGGCCCAGCTGCTCCCAGCTCTCACTTCCTGTGGAGACTTTCTCACAGTCCTCGAGACCCCCGGATGCCTCAGGCTGTGGGAACTGCACTGGCTTAGGAAGGACGGGCTGTACCCCCACCCCCAGCTGGAGCCACATGCCCCGAAACCCTCAGGGGACCTTGTGTGCGGAATCCTGGACCTATGTGGAGGAGAGCTGGGGAGGAAGTTGGATACCTCACCGACTGGACGACACTGAGCAACTCCCTTGCCCTCTCTGACCCTCAGTTTCCCCATCTGTAAACTGGGGACAATAATAGCACCTGCTTCACAGGGTCATCTTGAGGACTAGCTGAGGTCCCGGGTTTGGCCCAGGGAAGAACCAGCACACAGGAGCTGCTCTACCTACCACTGCGCCCATGTTCTAGAAGAGTTCACTGAGGCCCAATGAGGGGGACTTGCCCAGGGTCACACTGCTTCCTCCCGCTCAGCGGAGGGCCCTCTCCAGAGCCAAAGAGGGTCCTCTCTCCTCCCATCCCTGCTCCATTTCTTCTTCTTGACATAGCTTTGGGGCTCCTAGTCCGGTTGAAATATTATTTCTCTTTACCCTCCCCTCCCCACCTTCTCCTCATCTCTACCCCGGAGTGGTCCCCTTTTCCCAGGGGAGCCTGCCTCGTGCAAGGAACAAAGCAGATCTAGTCCGAGCAGCTGTGAGTCCTGGATCAAGTCACAAACTTCAGTGTTTTCCATTATCAAGGGCATGGCGGTCAGTGCTCCATACATGCCCTCTCCTTTTGCGTATCAGTTAGTAGCTCTCGGGGCTCAGAATCCTCAGCTCTGCGCTGGGAAGAATGGCCTCCCTCTGCCCTATCCTCACAGGGCTGGTACCCTTTCTGGACACCTGCCGGCAAGCTCACCGCTGTCCAGAAGACTGAGGGCACAGAATGGTGGAGAAGGAGCAGGGATGTCTTCAGGACAGTGGTGGCCCATCTTACAGGAGGCAGGGCAGGGCAGGGCAGGGGCTAAAGCCAACAGCCTTCCTGGCAGAGAACCCCAAAGGCCCCATAGCAGGGTAGGCAGGGGAAGGCAGGGATTTCTGTCCCTGCGCCTGGGTGGCTCAGTTGGTTAAGTGTCCAACTCTTGATCTCAGCTTAGGTCTTGATCTCAGGGTCATGAGTTCAAGCCCCACGTTGGGCTCTGCGCTGTGAAGCCTACTTAAAAAAAAAAACAAATAAAAACCTAAGGAGCACAGAGCAGTGTTGCTTCTCTGCCGGGGTGAGTGACGATTGGAGCGAAGGGTGGAAAGAATCTCAGGCCTCAAGAGGGGCAGGATGGGAGATCTCCATGGCTGGGAGCTTGGGCAGCACGAGGAGGCACACGAGGAGGGTCTGGGAACTCTGCACCCTTCCTCCTCAGGATCCTCGTGGCCTCTCCGGGAAGACAGTTTTGTCCTTTTTCCAGGAGAGGCCCTTGGACATCAGAGAGGTGAAGGCGGGGGAAAGTAGAGAAGCAGGAGGCAGAGGTTGGGGAAGTGTCCACTTGAAGCCACGTGGCCAGGCCTGGAGGTCCAAGGGAGCCAACTGGGGGTCAGAGAGAGGGTAGATGGGCCACAGGCCTGTCTGCAGAGGGCAAGGCTGCCCATGGCAAGGGAGGGCCAGGGTGGAAGGGGACTACAGCTGGTATCTACTGCCCCTCCTCCAGGATCCCTCGGGAGCCTTGCCCTTTCTCCTGGGCCGGGTCGGAGGCCCTGAAGGTAGAGCTCAGATCTGGACCTGTGTTGGGGAACTAAAGGATCATGGGCTCTAATAACTGCTCATTAGTCCAATTAATTAAGCTAATGTATGCAATAAGCAGTATCAGTTATCAGAACAAATCAGTTAATGCAGGCAATTAAAAGGGCTGGTTATTTGAATAATTAATGTGGCTGATTAATGGGACTGATTTAGCTCAATTGTCAGTATTATTTATTAATTGATTTCACCACAAATATTAGAGAGGAAGTGCCTTTTTAAGTCCATAAAATAAAAATAATAATAATTAATTAACGGAGCTGAGTTTTTGAAAATGGAAGCTTTGATTCCTGAATTTGATCATAACAATGGGAGGGAGAATGTTCTAGAAATCTCCAAGCAAACTGAGATCTGAAAACCAAGTAGAAATTTCTCTGGCCTAAGGGAGAGAGGACGTTCCAAGCAGAGGGAACATCCTGTGCAAAGGCCCTGAGGCTGGAGGAGGCAGAGGTCTTTGGAGAAAGTACAGGCAGGCTGAAGAGCAAGGAGGAGAGAGGAGGGATGGCTGACCGTGCCAGTCACAGAGAACTGAGCCATGAGGAACCAGACTTTGTGCCCAGGGTTGCATGGAGATGCTGTGTGACATTCGTTCACTCCAAAAAATCTTTATGGGGTGTCTGGCACTGTTCTAAGCAGATCCCAAGCCCTGTCCTTGTGGAGCTTATGTTCTAGTAAGAGAAGACAGTCGATGCATGGCAGGTCACATGAAGTGCCACAGAGAAAAACTAACCAGGGAAGGGAGGTAGGGAATGTGGAGTGGGTCACACTTTCAGATGGGTGGCAAGGGAAGGCCTCACTGGGAAGGGGACGTTTTAGTAAAGATCTGATGGAGGGCAGGGAGAGAGCTCAGTGGTATCGGGAGGGAAAGTATTCCAGCAGAGGAGGGACAGAAAGTGCAAAGGCCCTGGGGTGCCTGGGTGGCTCGGTTAAGCCCCGCACATCTGGCTCTGTGCTGACAGGGCAGAGCCTGCTTGGGATTCTCTCTCCCTCTCTCTCTGCCCCTCCCCCCATCTCAAAAGTAAATAAATAAATTTGAAACATTTTTAAAAAGAAAGTGCAAAGACCCTGAGGTGGGGACAAAATCCAGCAAGAGGCCCAGCATGGCTGGAGCAGCATGAGTGAAGGGAGCAGGTTAGGACATGGGATGGGGGAGGTGGTGAGGACCCACTCTATAAGACTGTTAGGAGGACTTTGGCCCTTACTCTGAGTGACACTGGGGGGCCACTCCTGCGGGTTGAAGCACAGGAAATCCCAAGATCTGACTTCCACTTTAACGGGAATGCGCTGGTTGCTGGAGTGAGAACAAGTCACAGAAGACACAGAGGCAGGGAGGCCAGTGCTGAGGTGGTGGCCATAGTCCAGGCGGGTGATGGCAGTGGATCGGAGGCAGACATTATGTTTAGGAAACCCTAGAGTCTTGTAGAGGGGCAGGGTGAGGTGATGGGGACTGAGTGAGGCCCAGCTTCTTGGGTCTCGGCCTCTGCCCTGAGCTCCCCTGTTGGCTCGGACCCCCCAGTCCACTTGATCCCTGGTGCAGGCACCCCCTTCTCCAAGGCTCTCCTCCCTCGCCAGAGCCCAAGGGGAAGTAGACAGGAAGGAGGGAGGAAGCACTGGGGCGATCCCAGTGTCCTGTCCAATCTTTTCCCAGCAGCGAGCGGATTTCCGGGACTGAATAGCCGGAAACTCTGGGATGGGACACCTCACCCGGGAAAAGCTGGCAGAGGTGAGCGGGGAGGAGGGGGTCCCCACTCCAGCTGGCTCCCACAGCTGCTGGACGGAGGGAACCAAATTGGCTTTGAAAAACGGCTGTGGCTGTGGCTGGGGTGCAGCTTGAGAGGCTATGTTTTTTGTTTTGTTTTGAAGTTTATTTATTTCGAGAGAGAGAGAGAGAGAGAGAGAGAGAACAAGCAGGGGAGGGGCAGAGAGAGAGGGAGAGACAGAATCTTAAGCAGGCTCCATACTGTCAGTGCAGAGTACGACACGGGACTCAAACTCGTCAACCGTGAGACCATGACCTGAGCCGAAACCAAGATTTGGACGCTTCAACGACTGAGCCCCCCAGGCGCCCCGAGAGACTATGTTTTTAAGTCAGGAAGGACTCTGCAAGAGGGAAGGTTAGCAGTGGGGATGCTAGAATGTCAGAAAAGGGAGGCCTGTCAGACAACCTCTCACCGAGGAGCCCTGTGGCCTCAGGAGCAGCGGGGGGAACCCTGTGTGGATTTCTGCCCTGGGAATGCACACCTTACCCATGATATTTTAAGCTCAGATTTTGTGTGTTGTCTTAAATTAAATGTATTTTATTAAATTTATTACATTTACACGCCAGGCACTGTGCTGGGAGCTTCGCCACGAACGAGGCAAAGTCAGTGCCCTCATGAAGGTGTCGGGTAATTAACAGTCAACAAATAGATGTAAAATGATCATTGCAGGCAGAGGCTGAGGAAGATAAAGCAGGGTTGAGGACAGGGAGTGAAGGACCAGGGAGGGTGGTCCGGGAAGGCTTCTCTGAGGAGGCGTGTTAAACAGAGTCCTAAATAAACGAGGGGGAGGGGCAAGCTGCATGGAGATCCGGAGGAAGGGCATTCCAGGCAGAGGGAATATGTTCCTGGTAGCCAGAGTGAGCCAATGTGGCTGGGGCAGAATGAGGGACGGAATAAATGAGGGAGGCAGGTTGGGGGTCAGCAAGGTGGGTGGTTGGGGGCCTCCAGGCTACACAAGGCCTTGTAGGTTGGGGAACGTATGACCTGCTTTATGCTAGTTTAAAAAAAAATTTTTTTTTTTAATGTCTATTCATTTTGGAGAGAGACAGAGAGACTGAGACAGAGCGTGAGTGAGGAAGGGGCAGAGAGGGAGACACAGAACCCAAAGCAGGCTCCAGGCTCTGAGCTGTCAGCACAGAGCCCGATGCGGGCCTCGAACTCACACACTGCTAGATCGTGACCTGAGCCGAAGCCAGACGCTCAACCGACTGAGCCACCCAGGCGCCCCTGTGGCTGTTTTTTTCTGGCATAATGAGGGCACCTCTTTACTCTCACGAGGGAAGGAAAGTTCTGGTTTGGGTGAAAAATGACATGCCCAGCCATTTGCAAGTCACAGAGAGGTGTTTACATCTTGTTCCATGAGAGGAGGGAGCCCAGGGCGGGTGGGGGTGCTGTGTGCACCTGTGACCGGCTTAGGTTTTCACCTGAGTGCCACTGGGGGTGGGGTGGAAGCTGAGAGCCTGTGAGAACAGACAGAGAGCCAGCGAGAAGGCTGCCGTGGGCTCCACAGAGGACCCAGGGCTCCTGGACGAAGCGAGCGTTGCCTCTTGGAGAGAAGTGGTCAGGATCTATTTTGAAGGCAGAGTCGCAGGATTTCCTGACGGGTTGGGTGTGGGGTGTGAGTGGAAGAAGAGGCACAGATGATGCAGATTTTTTCTTGCCAAACAAAGCAACAAGAGTGCAGCTGACATCAACTGAGATGGGAAACGGATGTGGGGAGCAGGGGTGTGGCCGCAGGGGGCGGGTAGCAACAGTCCTGCTTTGGATAAGACAAGTCCAAGATGACTTCAGACATCCAAGGGGCCACGCTAAGGAGACAGGTGGGTTCGTGAGGCTGGTGTTAAAGGGGCAGTTCCAGGCTGCATCAGAGAACAGATGGCATTTAAGGTCAAGGGCCCGGGGGAGGTGGCTCACAGCGTCCCCTACAAGGAAGGTTAGTATCTGTCTGGCACCTGGGAAAGCTAGCCACTCCTGGCCTCTGGCCTCTCCAGGTCCCATCCCAGCCACCCTGAAGGCTGGGGGATCCATTCCACAGCCAACAGTCACCAGCAACAGCACCACATTGTGTTGCTGAGCTGGCCACTCTGCACAGGAAGAGAGTGCAGGGTCTTGGGGGGGGGAGAGGAGGCTGAGCCCCAGCCTGGGGTCCCCAGTATTTGGAGTGGAGAGGGATGAGAACACTTGGATGCTCTGAAGCTGGGTGAAGACAGTGATCTGGGAAGTATGGAACATTTATCAGCTCCTGGAGTCCTGGCGACAACCCAGGGAGGCAGAGGCTGTCATTATCCCCAGTTCTCAGGTAGGACCCCCCCTCCCCAGCCCACCACTGCCCCAGAGAGGTAAGGGGATTTGTGTGGGGTTGCACAACTGGAGAGTGAGCGCTGTCAGCTGCAATGCCCCCCTCCTGGCTTCAGGATTAGCCCTCTGGGGCCTTGAGGGCCAGATGCTGGCACCAGGCAGGTGGGCAGAAGCTGGCAGCTGGGGATCCAGGTAGGGCTGGGTACACTCAGCTCTCTTCTCTCCTTCCAGGGCTGCTGGAGAACCAGAGGCTGGCGGGGACTACGTGAAGGTAAGAGGGGCTGGGCAGGGGACACTGGACAGCTCAGAGCCTGTTCCATGAAGGGCAGAGTTCTTTTCTGAGCCTTGTTGGGAGCGGGACCTCACTGCCTGTTCCCAGGAGGAGAGGGTCTCGGGGTCGGTGCGGAGCTTGGGCTCTGGTTTCACTCCCGAGGACCTTCTTCCCATGCCATTGTCTCCCAGCCCCAAACACAGGACACCCCACTGTTTGTTACCACCAGACCCCACCCGCCTGCCAGCTGGACAGGGCCCGGAGGATGTCTCCCTACACAGACCGCGGAGCCCCAGTCCCACGTGGTCTCTGAGCACGTGCTGATGTTGAGAGGTGGGAGCAAGAAAAGGTGCCTCAGTTTTCATCACGGATCATGGATGCAGCTCATGTTTGCCACACACTTAATTTGTCCCGGGCGCTGGGAATGTTGAGAATGCAGTTTTGAGACGATGATGATAACGGGAGTAACTTTACGTCTTGGGTGCCTACTGTGTGCAGAGCCCTGTGCTGGGGGCCAGCACCGGAAGGGAGACAGTTATGAGCTCTGTACATGAAGGAGGTCTTTGACTTCTTCCCTCGTCGCTGGGCAGGGAAGGTCTTCCTGTGTACCCATCTACGCTTGGGAAACTTGGGGCCCAGAGATGCACAGTGATTTTGCCCACAGCCACACACTGCTACCACGGGGCAGAACTGAGATTGCAGTTCAAATTTGAGAGACAGAGACTGAGCGAGGGAGGAGCAGACAGAGAGGGAGGCACAGAATCCGAAGCAGGCTCCAGGCTCCGAGCTGTCGGCACAGAGCCCGACGCAAGGCTTGAACTCACGAACCGTGAGATCATGACCTGAGCCGAAGCAGGATGCTTAACCGACTGAGCCACCCAGGCGCCCCTGCTATCCAATTTTATCTGATGCCAAGGCCACGGACAAAGTCCTTGGCCTTCCGCCTCCGGGAGCACCCGCACTGGGCCGGGCTGCCTGCTGAGTACGGAGCATACAGCAGAGGCAGGAGGTCCAGGTCTTGTGTTCAAAGGGTCCACGTGGGGACCAGGACAAAATCATACAGAGTGGTTTGGGCTTTTGTTTTGTAATCCAGCAGACCCAAATTTTAGTCCCAGATCTGCCACTTACTTGCTACATGACTTTGGGTATGTGGGTCACCTCTCTGAGCCTCAGTGTTCACCTGTGTGGTAGCAGAGGCTCCTCCCACCTAGGATTGCTGTGGGCTCAATGAGTCCATCCCCATAAGTAGGGTTGCTGGGCCTGGAATAGAGCAGGCTGGCCTGGCTCCTGACCTCAGGAACATTCCATCATCTGAGATGTTGCCTATAAAACTCTGTGTTCGTGACTAGTGAAGGAAGCTATTGGAGCTCAGGATGTAGGGGAGCTTGGGAGGTGGGGAGCGGGAGATCGAGGAAGGCTTTCTGGAGGAGGAAGCGTTGAAGCCAAGCCATTGGGGTTGACCAGGAATGTTCACCACAATCCTGTCCCCAGAGGAAAAGCTGAGAAGGAGCAAAGATAAGCAGAGATAGGCACTTGAGTGATCCAAGCAGAGGCAAGAGTGTGGGCAAGGGTCAGAAGGCAAGCTGGGTGAGCCCAGAAAGTGCAGCCCCGGGCTGCAGCAAGTTGAACTGTAGCTGCTCTGGGAATCTCGCCCTGGCTCCTTATCTAGAGCCCTTGCGCCACAGAGGGACAGAGGCCTTAGGGAGAACTGGCACCAAAGCCAGTGGGTAGGACCCACAGGGCACACATTTCAGCAGCCCACAATTCTCAGTCACCTGGCAAGGTAGTGAGATCCCCATCACTGGTGGTAGTAAGATCCCTGTGAGGATTATTAACTTTGTATTTTTCCTTTAGTGTATGGGGCTAAAAAAAAATGTATTTTAAAATATTATAAAAGAAATAGTACCTGCTGGCTGGAACTGATTAAACGGTTCTCTAACGGGTGCGGTCAAAAGAACATTAGGTTTAGCTTCAAGCCTCAGACGGTGGTAAAATCAATAGCCAGTTACCAAAAGTCCGTTCCTGCCCCGAGGCACCAGCTTAAGGAACTCCAGGGTTCTCAGACCCTGATGTGAATACTTTGATTCTAAAGCAAGGGTTCCCAAGTTCCAAGACCATAAAACTCCAAGCTCCCTGCTCAGAGCTTCAGATGTGTTTGCAGAAAAGAATCAAACAACTGAAGCCCGGCGAGGTGGACTCACATCCCTAATGTCACACAGCCTGTCACAAGGATTTGTACCTTAGGCCTGACTGATGCAGAGTCAGCGATGACTCTCTTGAATCGCAGCACAAAAAGCCCCGGCAACAAGCTTGAAAATAGTAGCATGCATTTACTGAGCACTTACTTCATGCCTGGCAACTTAACGTGCATCAACTCAGCCGAGGCTCAGAAGGGTTGTATGAGGTCAGCACAGGTATGTTTTCCAGATGAGTGAACCTGGGCTCCAAGAGGAGGGGATGGTGGGGTGGAGGTGGGGGCACTGCTAGGTGAACCCAGGTTGGTGCCCTAAGCATTGAGCCTTACTGGCCCTCTGCACCCCCAGAGTCTGTCAGATCAGCATCCGGTGACAATTCTCAGCAGAGTCCCTGATTCCGAGTCAGAGGGGAGAAATCCTGGGCTCTGGGAGATTTCCCGAGGCCACAAAGGATTTGGTCAAACGCGTACAGGGGTTTGTTTCCGGCTTTGGATACGATTTAATTCAAAGTCTTTGCCCGCCCCGGGTCAGCGAAGGGTACAGGGTACGGCGCGTAGGGGAGGCAGGACCCCCCACCCCCTCCCGAGCCCAGGCATCCCCACCCCATCCCGCTGCCCCTCCGTGACCGCCCCCCTAGGCTGGTCCTCTGCTCCGCATCCCCCGACTCCAGGCAGCCCTGCGGGGCTGGAGCGCGCGGGGCGAGGGGCGGGGAGCGGGGGGCGGGCGGAGGGAGGAACAATGGCCCCCTCCCCTCCCCTGGCCGGCCGGAGGGTGGGGTCTCCCCGCCCCGCCTCCCCGCTCCTCCCCCGCCAAGGCGATGAGGTAATCGCGCCGCCGAGAGGCACGCGCAGCCGGTGCCCAGCCCGGTCGGTCCCCGCGCCCCTGCCCCGCCGGCCGCCGCCCCCCGCACCGGCCCGGCCCCGGACGCCCGGCCCCACCATGACCGAGCGGTGCAGCCTGTGGAGCGCCCTGTCGGCCGCCGCCTGCTGCTTCTACCGCGGCTCCTTCGTGCAGGTGCAGGTGAGGGGGCGGCTCGGTCCCCGCCAGGCGCTCCGGGCTGGGACCCCGGCCGCTCCGCCCCGGGCCCCGGGGGCCGCGAGCCTCAGCCCGGGGGCGCCTCGCAGGGTCTGGCGGGGCCGGGGCAGGGGCCGGGGCTGCGGGAGGGGGCGGGGTCGCCCCAGCCTCACCTCTGGGCGCCCAGTCGCTCCGCAGGGTGAGGGTCCGGGCTGCCGCTCCCGGGACTCGGGGCTGCGGGACTGTCGTTCGGGTCCTGCCTTCTCAGGAGGAGCTGAGCTGGGGCACTGGGTACCGGGAGCTGCGGTCCCCCGGCGACCTGCCGGTCCTCCAGCGAGCGCTCCGGCCCCTGCGGCTGACCGGGGCACGCTGGCTCCCCATTGTACCGGGGGCTCTGGGCTGGGGTCCGAAGGCTGAGTGAGGGGCGCGAAGCTGAAGGGATGCTGCGGGTGCCGGGGCTGGGGCCGGGGAGCCCGCCACCCTCCCGCCCTCTAGGTGGACTAGGGCAGGCTCGGGGCGCGGGGCTCCCAGCCCAGCCGGCCGGGCAGTGCGGGACCGCGCCGCGGCGGTGAAAGGGTTAAACGGAAGGGGGTGGAGGGGAGGACCCGGACCCCGCCTCTCTGCGGAGCATCATCTGGGGATGGCCTTGCTTGGGGTTGCCAGACCGTAGGAAGCTGGAGGGGGGGCTTGCTGGGCTCGGGCTGGGGTTTAGGGGTCAAGACCCTGACCGAGGGTCTCTGCGCTTTTGCCTCCGGAGACCCCTGGGGGACGGCGGGCGCGTCACCTCTGCGCTCCGCGAGGCTCACACACACGCTCCGAGCCCGCCTGAATGACGGCCCCGCCGGCGGCGGAGCGCAGCATCCCCGCACTGGCCAATGAGGCGCGCGCAGGCGGGGAGGCGGTGAGATCATCTCTGGCCAATAGGGGTGCGCCGAGCTCAAGGATGCTGCATTCGCGCCCCAGCCCGCAACGCTCCCCCCCCCACCCCCAGTTTTGGGAGCTGGGGACCCCCAAGTCGAGAGTGAGGAGGAGGGCACAAGGACCCGAGGGCTCCCTACCCTCAGTATGTGGGAGGACAAAGTTGGTTACCCCAGATTCTTTCCGTGACCATTGAAAAAGTGGATCCCAGTACCCCACCCCCACCCCCACCCCCTTTACAGATGAGGCTACTCAGGCTCAGAGAGGGAAAATGACTAGCGCAAGGTCACACAGTGGCGGGCAGAGTCTGGTGGCCAGGTTCTTCACCACACAACCCGCTCCCCTTCGTTGCCCCATGTCCGTCTTGCTCCAGCTGTGGAACTGGGGTGAGTCCTCAGTTACATGCTTTTTATCAAGGAGAACTCCAGAAGGCTGGGGTACTGTTGCCCTCTCCCCTGTGACTCGCACTCTTCCCTCCCCAGGGTGTGGGGTGATGTAAGAAGGGAGACCAAGGACCCCGAAGAATAGGGAACTCCATACAGAAGCGTAGGTATCTGACGGGACCCCCACCCCAGTTCAGTGCTTGGCCTAACTGCCCTTTGGGGGTATCGGTTTCTACCCGGGGTGGAGGAGGATGTACAGAATCCCCATCCCCAGAACCTGTCTTTTCCTGAGCACCTGTACCATCACTGACCCCCACCATCTGTCCCAGAGCCCCACACACTTCTCAATGCCCAGGTTTTCATGTGCCCATCACCAAGCCGCTCCTGCTCCTGCCTTTCTCACCTTGGAGAGTATCTCATTGTCCGCCCCAGGATCCCCATCTCAAATCCTCTCTGACCCCTCCACCCTCTTTCCCTATACCCGGTCAAAGGCTACACATAAACAAACACCCTTTCCCCAGTCCCCACCCTCGTGCCCCACCCTCCCCTGCCTTTGCCTGGAAAGCACTAAGCCACTTTCCACACAGCAGACTGAATCTTGAAAAGCCCTCTGTGGCCTCCAGCCCCCCACAGCAGCCTGACAGCCCTGCTCCACCTGCCCCCATCATTCTTGACCCTTTGAAACTTTCCCCCACCCCAGGACCTTGGCTCTGCCACTTTCTTCCCAGAAGCTCTTCTCTGCCCACCTGTCTGCCTGTCTGCCTGTCTGCCACCCTGCCTTGATGCTTCTGCTGGGCTCATCCAGTCCTTCTGCAGGCCTCCGTGGAAACATCACCTCTTCAGGGACTCTACTCCCTGACTAGATGAGGAGGGACTCTCTTAGCTCCCAGAGCTCTCTGTGCATCTCTAAACATTCAGAAAACCTGGAATTGCATGGCTCCTCTAAGGCAGAAGTCACCCGTCCTGATGACCTTGGGGCCTCAGCCCCTAGCACAGGACCTGTCCCAGAATGGGGGCTTAATCATTGTGGAAATAATGAAGTCAGAGACTCTAGATATCGCTGAAGCTGGGAATTAGAGTGTCTTGGGAGCAGTGTGGGTTGGGATAAACTGAGGCAGTGTGGGAGCAGAAGGGTGGGGAATGGAGCTGCAGAGTTAGGCTCTGAGATCTTTGAGAAGTCTGAAAAGGCAGGGAGTGGACTGGAGGACCCTTGGACCCAGTGAGTAGGGGGTCCTGGGGAAAGACTGTCACCTGGACCGAAGCCAGGCCCTCTAGTGTCCCTTTCATCTGTCCTGGCCAGTTCAGGGTCAGTCTACCTATCCTAGAGCAGTCATCTTTGGGGCCTGGAGTTGGGGGAAGGGAGAGAAAGTAATTTCACATGTCCTCACAGTGACAAGGACATCTATGGGTCCTCTGGAGTATTATCTCCTTTCATCCTTGGAATCCAGTGAGGCAGGGTCTGTCATTAAGCCCATTTTGCAGAGGAGGAAACTGAGGCCCAGAGAACTCACATGGCACAGCCAGGACTGGGCAGGGCTTCATGGTGGGGGTGCACCTGGCGGCAGGAACTCCCCTCCCTCTGCTCTTAGGTATTCAACCCTGGGCCACAGTAACCAGGAAACCAGGAGTCTCCCTCTTTGGCAGGTGGGAGGGGGGTAGTCCTGGGCATTAACTCCACTGAGTGCCCTTTGGCTTCTCTGCTTGGCCACAGTTTCCCCATCTGGCCAGGATTGCTCGAGATGGCAAGGTAGAAAGGGCTTTGGGAATTGTAAAGGACAGCAGAGATGTCTGTGTGGGGGCCTCTGCTTCCCTGTTTATAGCTGCCTCCTCCAGCCTTCCACTGTATAATTCAGCATCCCAGAATGTATCCTCGTCCACCCAGCCCTAAGTTTTTGTCCATGCCTTTTCCTGGGTACCTGCTGCCTTACCTCCCAGATCCACCTGTAGAAATCCTCCCTCTCCCAAGGCAAGATCTGTTCGGTGTGTTTGGTGCAGAATGAGTGTTTTGTTGTTTCCACGCCCTCCAGGAAGGCTTCCTGGACCACTCTACCTCGCCTACACTTCTGCCTCCTAAAAGCCGCTCGGGTCTTTGCCGCTGTCCAGTACGGTGGTGCTGACCTTATTCTGCTCAAATGTTCATGTCGCTTTTGCTTCCCCTCCTAGACTAGGAGCTTCCTTGAGGACAGGGACTGGTTTGTTTATTGCCTCATTTACTCCTGGCACATAGCACAGGGTCTGGAACATAGTAGGACTAATTGAGATCTCCTTATTCCTGCTGGTCTAGGGACTCACGGGTGAGGACCTTTCTGGCACCTGTGCCTAAGTCTTCCCAGGGTCCAAGGATGGAAGCACTTCACCTGGGGTGGGGAGGGGGTGGGAGAGAAGAAGGAAGGGGGCTTCAGACTGGAAGCCAACTCTTTGCTGTCTCCTGCCCAGTTCTCCAAGGAGAAGTACATCCTGGACTCCTCACCCGAGAAACTGCACAAGGAATTGGAGGAGGAACTCAAACTCAGCAGCACAGATCTCCGCAGCCATGCCTGGTACCATGGCCGCATCCCCCGTGAGGTGAGTGGACCCTGGGTGGGACTTCAGCCCTAGATGCTTCCATCCACCACCTTGGCCAGCCCTGCCCAGATAGGCTCTGACCCATTGCTTGGTAGATTCAATCTGAGTGGATGGCAACGAAGTCTAGCTCTGTCATTTACTGACTGTGTGACCTTGTACAAGTCACTTCACCTCTCTGAGCCTGTTTCTTCATCTAAGAGATGGAGAATAATGATTGTAGCTACCTTAAAGGGTTGTTGTGGGAATTAAAGTGCTTAAACTTGATGCCTGATATGCGGTAAACTCCATGTTATTATTAATGTTGTTATTACTCTTACTTTTAAATGTTATTCCTGTGGGGCTATACATTGGCCTCTCGTGCATTTGGCTAGTGAGTGTCAATGCCAAGGATTCTCAGTTTTGGCACAGTTGAGTTTCTGGGCTGAGGCACAGACAGGCTGATAGCCACCTCTTCCCTCTCGCACCATGCTCTCAGTCTTTGTCAAGCATCAACTCTGTCAGGCCCTGTGCTGGGCACCAAGAATGCAGAGAGAAAAGGGGTGGTGGCTTCCCCGGAGGGCTGGTAGTCCGAGGTGGGGACTGACGGGTAGGAAGTCAGAGCCCAGTGGAGGAAGTGCAAGAATGGAGTGCCCAGCAGGGAATGTGGGCGAGCCCTGAGGAGGGGGCACTGATGAGAGAGGCCAGTGAAAGATGGATGAGAGTTCATCAGGTGGGCAGGGTGGGAAGGTTGGTCCAGGCAGAAAAAGCAGCCGGAGGGTATGAAGGCCCAGAGCCATGTGAGAACACAGGGTCCTTGGAGGAATGAGGATTGGGAATTCACTCTGTCCGGCTCGGGCCCTAAGAAGGAGCAGGTCTGAGACCTGAGTTTCAGATCGTGTGACCGCCAGTGCCCCCAGACTCGGTGTCCCCGTAACACACATTCCAGGGTGTTATTCCTCCCATTCCTGAGCCTCTGTGCACCAGACCCAGGGCCTGTGGCTGCATCGCCCCCTTGAATCTGGGTCACTGCTTCCCCCCTCCCAAACTTTAGATATCTCTGTTCACTGTGTCCCCCAGATCCTGGGTCTGGCCCTCTCCTGCCCCTGCCCTACTCCAGCCTGACCACTGCCTCCCACAGGTATCAGAGACCCTGGTGCAGCGCAATGGCGACTTCCTCATCCGGGACTCACTCACCAGCCTGGGTGACTATGTCCTCACCTGCCGCTGGCGCAACCAGGCCTTGCACTTCAAGATCAACAAGGTCGTGGTGAAGGCGGGTGAGAGCTACACCCACATCCAGTACCTGTTTGAGCAGGAGAGCTTCGACCACGTGCCCGCCCTCGTGCGGTACCACGTGGGCAGTCGCAAGGCTGTGTCCGAACAGAGCGGGGCCATCATCTACTGCCCCGTCAATCGCACCTTCCCGCTGCGCTACCTGGAGGCCTGCTATGGCTTGGGCCAGGGCAGTGGCAAGGCTGCTGGCCCCGCCAGCCCCTCGGGCCCCAAGGGCAGCCACATGAAGCGGCGCAGCGTCACCATGACTGACGGGCTCACCGCCGACAAGGTCACCCGTAGCGATGGCTGCCCCACCAGGTAAGCGAGGACCCCACCCTAGGCCTCCGTCTCCCCATTTGTCAAGTCGGGGTATCAGTCATCAGAGTGCTAGTGAGGGACAGAAGGCCCGGCCACACTGAACTGGGCGGAATTATTGTCCTGGAGCCTCAGTGTCCTTCCTGCAGCGAGGAAGAGGAAGGGCGAGCGAAGGGTTTGCAGGCAGCCAGGTGCCGGTTGCAGCCTCAGCTCTGCCATGACTAGCTGAGCTCTCTGGGCCCTGCCCCTCCTCCTTTCTCACGGCCACGTTCCTGCCCACAAAGGGCCCCTACTCAGCCCCCTGGCCTAGGGGGACCCCTGGCTGCCGTCCTGTCCCTGCCACCGCTGCTACCCCTCCCCACCCACCTGCCTAGGGTGAGGCGGGCATCAGAGCGGAAGGCTTTGCAGTGTGCAAACCACTGCACAGGGCATGGGACGTCCTGGCAACATTTTGGTGACACCTGGTTGCTTCTGGGGCGGCGTGAGACGAGGCCAGGAAAAGCCACAGCAGCGACTCATTCCTGAGACCCCAGTGTGCACCCTGCCCTGTGCTGAGTGCTCTCTGTGCCCAGGCTCGTCAACTCCCACGTCCACAGGAGCTGGCTCCTGTGTACACACCCACGTTACAGATGAGGAGATAGGTTTAGAGAGGCGAAGCCACTTGCTGGAGAAGGGTGAGACCGAGGTTCAAATCCAGGTCCGCGACTTCAAAGTCTATACCCCTAATTCCTATGGCCTCCCCGGCCTTTGGCAAAGAGACCTGCCGTCCTGTGCCACCAGCACCTGCATGGGTCCCATCTCCCTAGGCCTGCGCTGGGTGCCATCAGCCAAGAAATTGCTGGTTGGAAACCCTTTGGGCAGTAGCCGCTTTGCCTGTGGTTTAGAACCAGTGACCGTAATTGTGCCAGGATCTGGCATTCTGAACATAGTGTGGGAGCAGTGAGGAGGTGCCAGGCTGGGGGGCATAGTTCCCTTAGGCTCCCCATCCTTTCTGCTAGGCCTACTTCCCAGACAGTTCTCCAAGTGGGGGCAAGGTTCTCCGGGAAGAGAGCAGTTGTGTGGGTGGTGGACTGCACAAACACTTCCTCCTCTGGGCTTCGGGTTTGTATTTGCCAATCGGGGGGTTGGACTCCACAATCCCCAAGCCTTTTCTGCTTCTGAAGTTCAGTCAATCTAGGATGGAGGGAGAGGTGACAGTCCTAAGGCCAGCTGAGGACTCTGCCCTCTGGGCTTTCTGCTCATGAAGGTATCTGCTCCACAGCACATCACTGCCCCATCCCCGGGAATCCATCCGCAACTGTGCCCTCAGCATGGACCAGATCCCAGACCTGCACTCGCCCATGTCTCCCATCTCTGAGAGTCCCAGCTCCCCCGCCTACAGTACTGGTATGGCCACTGGAGGGGGAGGGCCAGGTGGGGGGGATCTAGTGGGAGTGACCTTGTATGTGCACGGGTGCTCCGTCTTTGATGACTTCCGTTACAGTGTGTGAGTGTGTGTGTTTCTACCTCTTTACTGAGAATGATGCCCTGTAAGAATTTACACTAAAAACCAGCCAGCAGAACTACTGATATTGACACACAAAACATATCCGTGGCTCATTCATTCAGCAGAGATTTGTTGAGCCCTTATTGGGCACTAGGCACTGTGCATGAAGAGGTTTCCGGTGCATTCTCCAGAATGCAGTGAAGCCTGTTAAAGGCTCGCTGTGTTACTGAACCTGGCCTCAAATGCTGGGAAGTGGGCTTATAGAGCAATACTCAGCCCCCACGGGTCAAGCGCCTTTCACACGTGGGGTGTCCTACCGGGCCCCGCGTTGGCTGGGACTTAACGCATCCTTGCTTCCAAATGGCTGGCTCAGACAGGCTAGTCTTGTGCTTTTTTCTTTCTTTCTTTCTTTTTTCCTTTTAAATGGGCTTGAATTTTTTTAGAGCAGTTTCAGGGTCATAGCAAAATTGAGCAGCAAGTACAGAGCACTGTGCCTTTTTTTTTTTTTTTTTTTTTTGGATATAAAGAAAATTCCTGTTGCAGACACATGCCACTACTTCGTTTCTGAAGGTGAAAAACGAGTGTTTTCCACGGGCCATAGTGCATATTGTCCACGTGGCAGGCAAAGTGTGCAGGGAGGCGGGCGTTCTGGAAGGAACCTTTGCCTGCAGGGGCTCTGGTGCAGTGTGGTCTACACAGGGTGTCACAAATCCCTCCCTAAGCACAGGCCCGCGGACTCGTCATCACTACAAACTTCCCTGCAAAACAACTCCCCTGAGGGCAAAAGTTAAAATTCCTTGCCACAGATTATTTATTGGGCATTTTCTAACAACATGGCAGTGTAAAGCATCCAGGGTTGAGGACTTAAACCCCAGCCGTATCCCTTGCTGGGTAGGAGAGCTCAGGCAGATCAGTTCACCTCCCTGAGCCTCAGTGTTTTCGTGGTAGAATGAGGATCATGAAAATACTTGCTTCCCAGGATGTTAGGGTTAAGTGGACTGATGTGCAAAGAAGGATCTTGCAGGGAGTAAGAGCTCAATGTACATCACCTCTAATTTTGGACGGTGGTTTTGCTGTGGCTGACCAGGGTATTGCCAGCATGGCACCAGCTCCTGGCACATGTGTCCTCAATGAATCATTAGTGCTAATTCCCTGAGAAACAATTCCACACAGTGAACTCCCAGCAAGGGCTTATTGGCATCCCTGAGTCATGGAAATGTGCAAGTAGTTCCGTGGTTCCCCAAGGCTGCAGCAGCCTTAGGGCAGGAGCGTGTGAATTCCTGGGGTCCAGACGACTTAAGAGCGTCATAGAGGCCCGGTCAGTTTGCCGGAGCCTGTTGGGCCCGGCCTGGGTGCAGGGAGGTGGGGGCATCACCCCTGTAGGGTGGATGGAGCCTGTCCTTTGGGAAGAGGGTAGAACCTCACTGGATGGGGAGCCCTGGTAACTAGTTCTCTCCCTTTATCTCCCCGCAGTGACCCGTGTCCACGCCGCCCCTGCAGCTCCCTCTGCCACAGCGCTGCCTGCCTCCCCTGTCACCCGCCGCTCCAGTGAACCCCAGCTGTGTCCTGGAAGTGCCCCAAAGCCCCCTGGGGAATCGGACAAGGGCCCTTATGCCAGTCCCTCCCACACGCTCTGCAAGGCCTCCCCATCACCGTCGCTTAGCAGCTACAGTGACCCGGACTCTGGCCATTACTGCCAGCTCCAGCCTCCTGTCCGTGGCAGCCGAGAGTGGGCAGCGGCTGAGGCCTCCAGCCGGCAGGCCAGGAGCTACGGGGAGAGGCTAAAGGAACTGTCAGAAAATGGGGCCCCCGAGGGGGACTGGGGCAGGGCCTTCACGGTCCCCATTGTGGAAGCCACCTCTTCCTTCAACCCAGCCACCTTCCAGTCCCTACTGATCCCCAAGGATAACCGGCCACTGGAGGTGGGCCTCCTGCGCAAGGTCAAGGAGCTGCTAGCAGAGGTGGATGCCCGGACGCTGGCCCGGCACGTCACCAAAGTTGACTGCCTGGTAGGTGCTGGGTGAGCACCAGGGCAGAGAGAACACCTCTGTCCTCTGGCTTTGGGACAGAGGTCGGGGTGGTGAGGAGCTAGCCCCTAAATTCCCCAAGTATAGCTAGTGGGCCTGGATTCTGGCTTCACAGCTGTCCTTTACTTGCTGTGTGACTCTGGGCTGATCACTTTACCTCTCTGCGCCTTCATTTTCTCCTTTTAAACAAAAAACAAGATAGTCTTGCTTCCTCCAGTTTGGCACTAGAACTGGGCAGTGGGGAAAGTTCGCGGTGTATGGCTCCCTGGGGCACTTTTTCAGCTTGCTAAGAGTCAGCCTGGCTGTTCCCGGGGAATGTAAAATGTAGAAGCCAAGACTACCAGCCCCCATGCCCCCTAGTGGACAAAATAAGCAAAACTCATAACCTAGACTCCTAAATTGTCAATGCCTGGGCCTTTGCTTGAATGAATCTTGACCATCTAAGGACCCAGACTCTCTCTGCACCTCAGGTTCTCCCTCTGAAGTTTTTTTTTTTGGGGGGGGGGGGCACTGATTACTTCATTTGGAGGCCACATTGGTCTCTGAGCTCAGGAAGCAAGAAAAGGGGGGTAGAGATATTGCCCTGTGGAGAGGGCTAGGCGTGAAGGGAGCATCTCTGGGTTCTCGGCCCAGTGTGTGACCTTGGACAAGCCCTTTCCCTCCCTGGGTCTGAGATTTGCCTTCTGGAATAAGAGTATCCTGGTCACCTCTAGCACAGATCAAACACCTCTGGGCATTTTCCCGTTTGTCCCTTATTTCCGTGAAAATGAGGTTCATTTGCTCCGTGGCAGAGGGTTAGAGCTGGAATTCAAACCCGGCCTCCCAGCCACGCTGCCCTCCTAGATAAAGCTCTCTGACTCCCAGATGGCTTGGGCCAGCCGCGACAGGAAATTAATCAGCCCTCTGGGCGTCCTTGCAGGTTGCTAGGATACTGGGCGTTACCAAGGAGATGCAGACCCTAATGGGAGTCCGCTGGGGCATGGAGCTGCTCACCCTCCCCCATGGCCGGCAGCTACGACTAGACCTGCTGGAAAGGTAAGGCAAGCACCGGCGCTCGAGGACTCGAGGAGGGTGGGGGGAACCCCGGGCTACCTCGGGGCCCTTTTGCTTGGCTGGTTAGCCAATCAGAGTCTCTCAGCCCTGCTCCCAAGGATTCTGGCTACGCCCTCTATCCATCGACGAATCGCTACTTCTCGGGGTCCAGCTCCAAGCAATTCTGGTTTCCCAAAAGACGGAGTCCTCTTATCTCCGGCTTCATCTTTTGCGCCCTCTTGACCAATCACACTCCACGAGCCTTGGCCCCGCCCATCAGCTCCAGCTACTCTTCTTCCCTAAATCTGTTCAGCCGGGTGAATTCCGCTGATCGATCACAAGCCCCTCAGCCTGGCGCTCAAAAGCCTCTGGCCCCACCCCCGACTTATACTGACCAATCAGGAGCCCTTGGGCTTGCTTTCCCTCGCTCTGGCCACGCCCCTCAATCTCATTGACCCTTTCCAACCTGTCACTTTGGGCTCGGCCCCCTCCGCTCCTCGGCGCCCAACCACAAGCAGTGACAGGACCCCTCCCCTCTGACCTGGCGGCTCTGACAGGTTCCACACCATGTCCATCATGCTGGCCGTGGACATCCTGGGCTGCACGGGCTCCGCCGAGGAGCGGGCAGCGCTTCTGCACAAGACCATCCAGCTGGCGGCGGAACTTCGGGGGACCATGGGCAACATGTTCAGCTTCGCTGCGGTCATGGGCGCCCTGGATATGGCTCAGGTACAGAGGGGTGCATCTCGAGCTGGGCTTCAGGCAGTCGCTGTTTGGAGGAGCCCTGGGATACGATCCTTTGCGATGACTGTACATTGAATCAGGAAGAACTTTGTGACTTTTAGGCAGCATTTGTGCAAAGGTGACTGTGAGAACTGAGTCCGAGTCTTTCCCCTTCTTGGGGCTTCAGTTTACCCACCTGTAAAATGAGTGACAAATATTAAATGAATTTCAAGAATAAATATAAAATGGCTATCATTTAGCAAGCACTTAATATATGCTAGGTGCTACACTGAGTACTTTACAAGCACTGATTCCTCAAAACAATCTTGTGAAGTAAGTGCCTCTATTGTCCCATTTTACTTCTGGAGAAACGGAGGCACAGCAGTACTTGCCTGAGGTCACACAGAGACTGAAAAAGTTGGGATTTGAAGCAGATCTGTTTAATTTCAGAGCCCAAACCTCATCCACACTCTACACTTGCTCTCCTGTGCCGAGTCAGTAGGAACAACAGGGTCCTAGAGGCCGTGGTTCAATTCCCAGCTCTGCCACTTAATTTTGGAATGACCTTGGGCAAGTCATTTCCCTATCTGAGCCTTAGTTCCCTCATCCGTAAAATGAGTTGTTGCAAGGGCTTCAAGAGAGACTGTGAAACGCAGCCAGCACTGTCCCTGATACGTGAATGGTGACCGTGATAATAATAATTATTATCCCATATCTGGGTGTCCACTCAGCAGGGTGGCCTGTGGCCCATGCAGGCCCCTTTCCTGGCTGGTCGCTCACAGTCTGATCTCCCCAGATCGCCCGGCTGGAGCAGACATGGGTGACCCTTCGGCAGCGACACACAGAGGGTGCCATCCTCTACGAGAAGAAGCTCAAGCCATTTCTCAAGAGCCTCAACGAGGGCAAAGGTACTTCCCCCGCCTTGCTGTGTGACCTTGGACAGGCTCTAGCCCTCTCTGGGCCGGCAAAGACCCTCGCAATGTGGATGACGAGAGCTTGACTGAGCTCAGTGTGGGCTCTTCTCCCTGTGCTCACTTTCTGCACCTGGCGACTGTGTGTGCCGCAGCCAGGGCCAGGCTCGGCCCTCCGGGCTGTGCCGAGGCTGCAGTGGGTTCAGCTGGAGGAATCCACAAGGAGGGGCTTGCCTTGGGAGTCGGGAGCCTTGGGGGCTCAGTCAGGGACCCCAGGAAGACCCTCCCCCTGCCACACCTGTTACCTGGGACCAGAGCGGATGGTGGGGCCTCCAAGGTCTCTAAGCACCTGCCTCCCTCCCTGCAGAAGGCCCGCCGCTGAGCAACACCACGTTTCCCCATGTGCTGCCGCTCATCACGCTGCTGGAATGTGACTCGGCCCCTGCTGAGGGCCCTGAGCCCTGGGGCAGCACAGAGCACGGTGTGGAGGTGATCCTGGCCCACCTGGAGGCTGCCCGAACAGTGGCACACCACGGAGGCCTGTATCACACCAACGCTGAGGTCAAGCTGCAAGGTGAGTCACCCATCGAATGGCGGGGGCGGGGGTGGCGAGAAAGTCACTGGTCTCGCCAGCCGGGCCTCCCTCCACCGGACTTGCTCTCCCCTTTTCTCCAAACGTCCACTTGCGTTTCTCCATCCCTCTTGCCTGCTCCACTCCCTCTTTTTTTTTTTTTTTCTTACCCATTTTTCACTCACTTATCAGTTCAACTGTTAGCAGAAGGCATCCGGTGTGGGTGGAGGGATAGAGATGATTCAAAGAGCACCAAAGCTGTGTATCTTTCTCTGAGCCTCAGTCTTCCCATCTGTGAAGTAGACATCCTAACAGGGCTGCTTTACAAGGTTGTTTGCAAAGCAATCTTTTACTGCCTCAGGCATGATTTAAGTCATGAAACTTCACTGTAGATAAACTGGAAATTACAGCTGAGCAAAAAGGAAATAAAAACAAAAATCACCCACAGTTATCCAGAGGCAAGTGGGGAGAATATTTTGGTGTTTGTTTTTCCTGCCTTTTTCTTTTTCAGAGAGAACAATTTTTTTTTTTTTTTTACTTAGCAAAAACTCGCAAAATGTATTCGTTTCTTAGAAAGAACTTTGGAGCTTACAGAAAAATACGAAAAGAAAAATGCCCCCAAATTAACATTAATATTTTTATATTCTAGTGATTTAAAAATTATACATGGCACATGTGGTCATGTTCATCAGTAAACGTTGCTCGATTCCTGGTGGAGCTGGGGGAGGTGCCTTAGGAACAAGGCCCTGGAGCCCCAGGCCTTCCCCAGCTGGATGGTAGTCCCCTGACCTCTGTGCCCTGCCTTGCAGGGTTCCAGGCCCGGCCAGAGCTCCTGGAGGTGTTCAGCACTGAGTTCCAGATGCGCCTCCTCTGGGGCAGCCAGGGCGCCAGCAGCAACCAGGCCCGGCGCTATGAGAAGTTCGACAAGGTCCTCACTGCCCTGTCCCACAAACTGGAGCCTGCTGTCCGCTCCAGCGAGCTGTGACCCCCACGGACCCCTCCCCTCTGCAGCTGCGGGCAGCAACAGGGACAGAGGGGGCACAGACCTTTCCCCAGAGCACCCCAGAGACACTGTGATCAGCCCAAGAATGTTCTGGGCCCAAACCAGGATCTCCGTTGCACTTCCAGGGTCCTGCATGGACCCTGGGCTCCGTCCCACCTGCTACATGCCCGCCAAGTCTCCCTTCAGGAAGAACCGGAACCCTCTCCCTCCCTCCAGCTTCTGCTTCTCCCCTTCCTGCTGAGGTGCCCTGTGCTTGAGCCAGGAGAGAGCCTTCACACCTCCTCACTCTCCTCGGGGCACCTGCCGGACACCAAGGCCTCCACCTGGTTGTAAATATGTCTGTCTGTTCTGTAAATAGATGTACAGAAGCCATGTTCGTTCTTTCATATAATAAACTTTTATGACTCTTTCTTCTGTCTCTCAGGGGGCCCTGGGGTGGAAGGAAGCATCTTTTCTCAGATGCAAAGGGGAAAAAGTGATTCAACGGTAAATACTTAGCCCCTGGGACATTTCAGATTCTACCAGGAGCCAGAGTTACAGCCAATACTAAAATCCAGTCCCAGGGGCGCCTGGGTGGCTCATTCGGTTGAGTGTCAGACTCTTGATTTCACCTCAGGTCGTGATCTCGTGGTTCATGGGTTCGAGCCCCAAATATAAATAAAACCCAGTCCCGGTCCTGGAGGAGCTCACAGACTAGTGCTGGAGATACACGGCTAATTCCAACCAGTGGGAGAAATCCTGGGCAGCCCCTACTAAGGGGAAGCCCAGCTAAGTTTCCCACAAAAGCACTACCAAGCATTTCAGATGTTTGGGGTGGAAGGGTGCTTTTTTTTTTCTTTTTTAGAGAGAAAGTGCAAGTGAGCAAGGATCAGAGGGAGAGAATCCCACAACGGACCGAGAGAGAGAGGGAGAGGGAGAGAGACAGAAAGAGAGAGAGAGAGAGAGAGAGGCGGGGCTCACCCGCTCGTGCTCACCTGATATGGTACTCGAACTCAGAAACTCTAAGATCATGCCCTTAGCCAGAGCTGAAGTCAGATGCTCAATGACTGAGCCACCTAGGCACCCGGGCTTTTTGAAATTTCGGATTCCAATTCCCTCTGGAAAATTGAGAACTGGAGGTAGAAGGTACTCCCCCTGGGTCACTGCTGCGGAATGAGGAAGGCTGGAACCTGGGTGTCCTGACCTGGACTTCTTTGAAGTGGCCCCAGAAGGCTTTGTGTGTGTGTGTGTGTGTGTGTGTGTGTGTGCATGTGCACACGAGTAGGGTAGCTGGGGGAGGGAATCTCTAAGAAGGGCCCTGAAAGCAGTTGTTTTGATTCCATGGATAGGGGAGGCAGGCAATATGGATCAAAACGATTCCTGGCCAGGCTGGACACCTGTGGAGCCTGTTCACCGAATACAAAACTTCTGGGGTCCTTTGCCTTCTAAATCCTTTGACCAAGAGAGGCTGGCTAACATAGTGCATTAGATCTTTGGCAGCAGCTTGACTCGGGTGGCCTTGGACAAGAGGCTTAATCCCTTGGATCCCAATTTCCTCCTCAATGAAATGCAGACAATAACAAGATCAGTTCCTCAGGACTGATGTTCAAGCACTTAGGGCACAGTAGCTGCTAGGTAGGGGACTGCCATGTTTCATACATAATAGATTGTCTATTGACAATCATTTATCGATTACTGAGTCAAAACACTTTGCCTGTATCTCATTGAAATATCACCATCTCTTATTTTAAGTTTATTTATTTTGAGAGAGAAAAAGAGAGAGAGAAATAGAGTGAGAGAGAGAAAGAGAGAGAGAGAGAGAGAGGTGGAGGGACAGAGAGAGGAGAGAGAATCCTAAGTAGGGTCCGCACTGTTAGTGAGATCATGACCTGAGCCAAAATCAAGATTCCGACGCTCAACCTACTAAGCCACCCAGGCGCCCCAAAATATCACTATTTCTCTTCCTGACAGGCACTGTTATGATCTATAAGGCACCTAACACTAATGGCACGTAGTAGGTGCTCACCAAAAGCTATATTACTGAGCGCTCTTTTATCGTGTAAAAGAAAAAAAGAGCACGGAAAGGGTTCTTTGCAAGTTTTAAGGTGCCGCACAAGTTTTGCTACAATTGTTACGTCACCCTTTGTGGCATAAACCTTTATTATTCTTTCGGCACGATTACGGTCTCCTAGTTACCGTGGCCATGGAAACGTGGCCCGCTGTCCTGGATTGGGCGGTTCGCGGGCTCCCTCTAGAGGCTACCTTGAGGTTCTGCTGCCGGACGGCGGCGCGGGCCTCTCAGAGGGGAGCCGGGAGTTGTAGTCTACGGACAGTGGCTGCCACGGAGTGATGCACGCCGGGAATTGTGGTTCTAGGGAGGGGCGGTTGGCCCAGACCCGGCTCCGGCCTCATCCGTATGGCGGCTGCGACACGCGGCTGCCGGCCCTGGGGCTCGCTCCTCGGGTTGCTGGGGTTGGTCTCGGCCGCGGCCGCCGCCTGGGACCTGACTTCGCTGCATTGCCACTTCGGCGCCTTCTGCGAATGTGACTTCCAGCCTGACTTCCAAGGTGAGGAGCCGCAGGAGCGGGGGGGCCGGCGGACCGGGGAGCCTTTGCACCCAAGGGTTGCGCCAGGGCCAGACCTGGAGGGTAGAACCGAGGGCCGGGACACTCGGACTTCCGGATGGCTGGGGCCGGAAGTGGGCCCGGCATTGCGGGACTGAGAGCCTGGAGCTCCGGACTTGGGGCGTAGGTTTGAGGAAGCCTTTTTGGGGTCTAGGGAGAGCCCTGCCAGGATGGAGAGAGGCATTTGACAGCAGGGCCTTGGGGGGAAGATTGGGCTTCCACAGGGGAGAAGCCTGCCTCGGGCGTGGTCAGGAGCCTTGGGCCAACCCTGCTGACAGCTCACACCCACTTGGAGCTGAGCTGAGTCAGGTCTCAGGATGGCTGCTGTAGCCGGAGACCCCAAGGGCCCCACTCCCTTTCTACAGAAGGGGAACGTAAAAATGTCCCGGAACAGAGGGAACCTTCGACCGGGTTTCCAGATAGGACTCCTCCCCACCCCCTTCCGTGACAAGCTTGTGTGTGTCCTCAGCTCTGATTCTGCCCTTCTTGTGGCCCTAGGTCTGGAGTGTGACCTGGCCCAGCACCTTGCCGGCCAGCACTTGGCCAAGGCGCTGGTGGTGAAGGCACTGAAGGCCTTCGTGCAGGACCCAGCCCCCACCAAGCCACTGGTCCTCTCCCTGCATGGCTGGACAGGCACTGGCAAGTCCTATGTCAGCTCCCTGCTGGCGCGCTACCTTTTCCGGGGTGGTCTCCGCAGCCCTCATGTACACCACTTTTCCCCCGTCATCCACTTCCCCCACCCCGGCCACGTGGAGCGCTACAAGGTAGGCTGGTGGCATCCTGGGCCACCATTCACCTGCATGTTGGGGTGCCAGACCCTAGGGAGTGAATGAATCCTCAGTCCAGAGAGGGAGAGTCACTTGCTCCAAGCCACACAGCCAGTTGGAGCCCCAGCCCTCAGGACCCATCATGACCAGAACTTGAGATGGTGCCATTCTACCTGGCAGGGAGTTCTTGCTTTAAATCATGGCGGGGGAGGGGAGGTAGGGGCAGTAATGGTACCTTCCTGCCAAGGTTGTTGCCAGGGACACGGGATCATATAGTTGCAGGTATTATTTATTGAGCACTTACCTTTGCCAGACAGTCTGCGTTATCTTCTTTCTGCAAAGCATAGTCCCAATTTGAGGCTCAGAGGAAGCATTCAGTAAATAGTCGCTCTTACTACTACTATTGTTGTTGATTGCAAGGTACTTTGCAGGCTGATCTGTTTCAGCTGTCAATATTACTGGGAAGGTTCAGGGGGCATAAAGGAACCTTCCCCTTTTATGGAAAGTAGGAAGGATCGGAGAATGAGTCCTGATCAGGCTGACGTAAGGCCTGGGTTTGAGTCTCTGTGAGCCTGCTGACTTGCTCTGTGAGCTTGAATAAGTCTCTCGCTTCTCAGGGCCACAGTTTTGCCCGCAGCCCCATGAAAGGATTAGTTTTTTCTGGGAGACCGTACCCTCCTGGGAAGGGGATTAGTTTTGGCCTTGGGAAGAAGTCTGGGGTTAGAGAAGCATCTCCCTCAGATTCCTGCCTCTCCCCTGCAGAAGGATCTTAAGAGCTGGGTCCAGGGGAACCTCACTGCCTGCAGCCGCTCCCTCTTCCTCTTTGACGAGATGGACAAGCTGGCCCCAGGCCTGATGGAGGTCCTGCGACCTTTCCTGGGCTCCTCTTGGGTTGTGTTCGGGACCAACTATCGCAAAGCCATCTTCATCTTCATCAGGTGGGTCCAGCTCTGCAGCAGGATGGTACGGGGACACCTGTCCAAGGTCTCAGCTATCCAGTCTGGGCCTGCGGTCCCAGAGCAGAATACCTTTCCTCCCCCTACCCCCAGGCCCAGTTGGGCTTTTCCAAAGCCCCTTACACTCTCACTGTGACACTGTTATTCACATTTTGACATTTTCAAAGCCCATTCCAGGCTCAGTCTTTGGGATCTTCACTGTTTGTTTGTGGAAGCCTGCTAGGTTAAGGGGCTTCCCTCTTTTGTGGCCAGGAGGACACAGACTTGGGAAAAACAGGACTGGAATTCTAGTCCCACCTCTAAGAGTCCTAGCTATGTTTCCTTGGGCAAATCACTTCACCTCTCTGAACTCCCATCTCCTTTTCTGCACAGCAGGGCCAATATCAATGCCTCACTGTCCTCCTAGAGGCCGGGGGAGGGAAAGTCAGTTAAGGGACCCAAAAGTGTTTTGTAAACTCTAAAGTGCGTGGCACATATAGGTGAATTTCCAGGGGTCATGGTTGTAGACACAGGCGCTGGAGAGGGGAAGTGGTGCCTGTGCTATGTTTTCAGTGCGTTTTTTGGCTCCTGCTGGTACTGAGCTGGGTCCCCAGGCTCAGGTTGTGTTAGGTGGCACGTGGGAAGCAGGGGCCATCCTGCCCCTCCTGAGCCTGCGTCCCCCATGGTTTCAGCAACACTGGTGGTGAGCAGATCAACCAGGTGGCACTGGAGGCGTGGCGCAGCCGCCGGGACCGTGAGGAGATCCGCCTACAGGAACTGGAGCTGGTCATCTCCCAGGCTGTGTTGGACAACCCGCACCGTGAGTTCCGCTCAGGAGGCCCCCCCCTGGGGTAACTTCAGCAGGTTGGGGCTTCACCCAGGGCTGGGTCTGATGCTTTGCCCACCGACCTGGTACTTCTCAGCCCACACTTTGGCGCTCCGGGGCTGTCCCTGAGCCCAACATAGACCCTTCCCCCATTGTCCCTTCCTGCAGATGGCTTCTGGCGCTCAGGCATCCTGGAAGAGCATCTCCTAGACGTGCTGGTGCCTTTCCTCCCACTGCAGCGGCACCATGTGCGGCACTGCGTGCTCAACGAGCTGACCCAGCTGGGCCTGGAGCCAAGGGATGAGGTCGTCCAGGCTGTGCTGGACAGCACCACCTTCTTCCCTGAGGACGAGCAGCTCTTTTCCTCCAATGGCTGCAAAACTGTGGCTTCCAGGATTGCCTTCTTCCTCTGACTCTCTAGATGGCACCCTTGCCCTCCTGGCCAGGCTGTGCAGGAGACCCCTGGGGCCTCTTCAGTAGGGACTCTTTTCCTGAGCCTCCTGGAGAGTGAGACCCAGAGTCCAAAGTGAAGATGAGGAGGCATGTTGGCCAGGCCATGGGCCAGGGGGCCAGGGCAGGCCCTGGCCTCTTAACTGCTCTCAGGGCATCTTGGCCTTTGCTTCCTTCCTTAGGGAAACCACTGGTGACCGCAGAACTTCAGTGAGCCTTGACCTTGCCCTCCAGCTTGAGCCTTCTTAAAATGTGAATTGTAACTCAGGGACTGTGGCTCATGGCTGCTCCCTCCCTCTTCAGTCTTACTCTTGGCCCCTTGGTCTGGCACCATATTCTCAATCCTCCATTCCATACCCTATGTCCCAGTATCGTAAAGCCAAGCTGAGACTTCTCAGTCTCCGTGAACAGACGGACACAAGCTGCCACTTGGGCCTAGTTTTTAAAGTTTTTAATTTTATAAGAGAACAAATACAATAAACTTAGCCATGGGACCAGAGGAATGTTGGCTGAGGTATCTAATTGCTCTGGAAGGAGGCTAGTTTGCTGAGTGCCAGTGAGCGGGTGTGTATGGGGGGAGGGGGTTAGAATCTCTTCCACACCCAGCAAGAAGTGAGGGGCTGAAGGGTCCCTCCAGAGAACAATGTAACTGCTAGGGCTGGAGTCCTGGCCAGCCTTGATTTTTCTGGCTGGGGTTTTCTGAGACTTAGGCTCAGGCCCTGGTTACTTCGGTCTTGCTGGAACCCGGGCTCGTGCTCTGGCTCAAACTCTGGGCAGCCTCCGTCTCGCTGGGCCTCTGGCCCTGGCCCTGGGCGGCCTTCATCTCGCTGGGCCTCCGGCTCTGGCCTTGGGCGGCCGCGGTCTGGCTGGGCCTCCGGCTCTGGCCCCGGGCGGCCTCGTTTTCTCTGGGCCTGTGGCTCAATTTTAGGTCTTTCCCGTTCTCCAACAGGTCTGAGGATTGAGTCTTCAGCAGTGAGGAGATTGAGGATGTCACAGCAGTGCCCGAGGTGCTCTTGTATTCCTGGCAGGTAGTGGACATCGCTGTCTCTGAGGTGGACAGGGTCCTGACTGGGAAGGATGTGCCAAGGGTACCTGTCAGGCTGCCCTTTGCAGACAGCTCCAGGAAAAGGAGGTGTCCGTCTCACCCTTGCCTATGCCCCAGAGGCCTCGCGTGGCCAAGGGGAAGGTCTGCCAGACGACACCAGCCCAGCCCTCCTCGGCAACCCAAACCCTGCAGGTGGGCCACGGCTGTAGGATAAGCGGGAGACGGTGAGGACCCCCCTCATGCAGCCCTCACTGAGGGTTCACCACACCCCTTGCAGAGCGAGGATCCTCACTCCTGCTTTAGAGTCACACAGCTGTAAGAAGCAGAGCCCAGAAGCATCTACGGGCCAGAGAGTCTCCGACCCCTGACCTTGGCCCACTCTGCCGCTTTGGTGTACTCAGGGCGGGCAGGAGCGCTGGGGACTTACAGCCGAAGATGCAGCCTGAAGAGGTCTGGCTGAGGTAGCTGTTGGACAGGGACCTCACCTTGCTGGCTGCGGCCTTCGGCTTCTCCTCCTAGGGCAGAGACAGGCAAGGCAGTCACCGGCTGTGGGAGGCCGTGGGCCAGTGGCACAGCTCTGGAAGGAAGACCAGCAGCTTAGAGTTCCTCAAGGGTCCCCAGTTGGGGCTGGGTGGGACACGGACAGGCTAAGACTGGCCAGGAAGGGGAGTGGGCAGACCAGACTGGCATGGCACTCAGAAAGGGAGTGTTTGGTCAGCTGCTTGGGCCTCAGTTTCAAAAGGCAAATGAGTTCAAGTGTGGGAAGGCTTCTGTAAACGGTAAAGTGCTGTGCCCTGGGGAATAGCTAGTGAAGAATGGAGGAATGTTTTTACACTTTACATGCCTCTCCCATTTCATCCTCCCACATATCTGGGAGGGAACTACCCTCTCATGGTCCAGAAACCCAGGCTACGGGTGCCGCAGCAGCCTGCCCGGGACACGCAGCTAAGAAAGCAGAGAGGCGGGGCTTGAATCCGGGCCTGCAGGACGCCACAGCCAGGCGTGTGGCTGCTGGACCCCTCCGACCCACTCACGCCTGCAGGCTGAGGGGAATGGAAGTGAGGACGGGCAGGCACTAGCTCTACCTCGCCCCGAGGGAGGGAGCTCACGATGACTTCAGAGGGCACACAAATCAAAGTTCTGCATTTGTGTGTTGCAGCGTGAGCTAAAAAACTAGCGCTGGCTGTTGCCGTTTATGGCAAGGGATGCTCGTGGTCCATTTACTCATTCGTAACGTTTCCTCTGAACACAAGTGTACTTGCATCAGCAGTGGGGCGGACAAATCGTGGGGCTTCCACAGGATGGAATTCTCTACAGCGATGAGAATGAGCGGTCAGCTTAGATGCATCTCACCAACAAGCTTAGTGAAAGGAGTCAGGCAAGCGGGCACACTGTATCTGTCCACGGGCGTGAACAGACACATTCATTTGTGATGTCAGCAGTCAGGACAGCCTTGGGGGTGCACTGGGCTAGGGAGGGACCTGGCAGGGGGCCTGGGAATGTGGTCTTTCAAAAGATAATGGTGTCGTGGGTGTATTCAGTTTGTGAAAATTCATCAGCTCGCCCCCTTAGGATTTGTGTACTTTTCTATATTTACATTACATTCAATAAAAAAGTTTTTTGAACTGGATTGCAGAATTAAGAAAATCCTGGCACAGCCAGCACACACAGAAGTTATGAAGGTGAGTGTGGCCAAGTGTGGGAAGGCCTCCTTGTGAGGGGCCCACATCCTCGTGTGCCCTTCCTCAGGGGTGTACCCCTTACTGGTACCATCCCCATCTCAGAGCAGAATGTCCCCAGCCCGAGTCACACAGCTGAGTGGCGGCAGAGCCAGACCCGGATGCCAGCCTCCAGCCAATCTGCATCCCTCAGCCCTGGCTTGGGGTACGCTCCCCCAGACCTCCAGGGCCCTAGGCCCCAGCATGTGGCACACTCACCTGTTTTTCCTCCTTCTTGGGGGCCTCAGCTTCCTCCTTTGGACCTGCTGGCTTTCCCTCCAGGGTCTGGGGGGTGGTGGCCTTGAGCTCTTCAGAGGTCTCGGCCAAAGGCTGTTCCTGCTTCCACCTGAGCTGCAGGGCCCGTGCCTTGTGGCGCTCTCGCTCCCGCTCCCTGAGCTGCCTGCCAAGCCATGGCCCCAGAGCGCTGGGTAAGGCCCCCCGCCAGACTCAGCCCACCAGCCCCGGAGGCTGGAGAATGGCCTGAGGAGGCAGCGGGGTAGGAGGAGTCTTGACCCCCGGCCATTTCCCGCTCCTGGCCCGAGGTCCCCATTTGGGGAACTTGCCCCACGATGCCTTGAGGGATGCCAGCCTGCGGGCTGCTCTCCGACACCCGATCCAGCTGCAACCTGGCCAGGTGGGCTGCCTGGCTGCCGAGCACCTCCTCCACCGACATGCCCGGGAAGAGGTTGGCCATCAGTGGGAGCAGCTGCCAGGAAAGATCCGGGTGTGGGTCAGGGCGGGGGGCGAAGGGTGTGGCGCTGCCCTGCCCTTGCAGAGGCCTTCTCAGAGCTGACGTGGGAAGCATTTGCAAACTGCGGTTTTTAGAGGGCCAGACCTTCTTGCTCCAGAACTGGGAGGAGCCTGTGAGGAGGCCTACCGGAAGAGAGCACACTGACCCTGACCTGGCCAGCCAACTACAGGTGCTGGAGCCAGCCTGTGGGGGGTTGGCCTCTAAGTGTGTGCCCTGGGGCAAGGGAACTGACCTCTCTGAACCTTACCCTCTTCACCTGCAAATTGGGGGTGATAATAATGTTACCTGTCTCATGGGGTGCTGAAGAGGGGAAACGGCAATGCAAGTTGAAGTGGCTAGAACAGGACCTGGCACACTGTAAGTGCTTGGCATTGGCCGCTGTTAGATTTTCTAGGAAACCAGACTGCTGGGAACAGGGGGTATCTTTAAGCAACAGTGGGTATTGATTCTGGAGCCCGCCCTCCTGGCCCAGCAGGAACCCACCTTAGGTTGTTTGGGGTTAAGGAGCAGGACGGTGGCAACATCCAGGCGGGCCCCCAGAATGTTCTGCAGGAGCTGCCGGCTCCTGGCACGGTGCAGGTAGTATTGGGCCTTCCGGGGGTTGTGCTGGATGGCCACTGAGAAGTGGCTCTCTGCCTTATGGAACTGCCTGCAGGACACAGTGGGTCACAGGCTGCTGTGAGCTGGGCCCTCTGGAGGGAAATAGCAATTGCTGGGCCCCATTGGGGAGTCTGGGGAAAATCAGGCTGGTCTCTGCTCTTCTAACAGTAACACTCTTAATGGCCCCAACACTTAAATGCTAGTATAAGACCCCAATATAAGTGAACGTGTTTTTTTTAAATAAAGCTTATTTATTTTGAGAGAGAGGGAGGGGGAGAAAGTGGGGGGAGGGGAGGGGCAGAGAGAGAGAGAATCCCAAGCAGACTCCTTGCTATCAGCTTGTCAGCACAGATCCCAACGTGGGGCTCCATCCCGAGAACCGTAAGATCAAGATCTGAGCCCAGGGGCGCCTGGGTGGCTCAGCTGGTTGGGCATGCGACTTCAGCTCAGGTCATGATCTCGCGGTTCACGAGTTCGAGCCCCACGTTGGGTTCTGTGCTGACAGCTCAGAGCCTGGAGCCTGCTTCAGATTCTGTGTCTCCCTCTCTCTTTGCCCCTCCTCTGCTCATGCTTTGTCTCTGTCTCTGTCTCTCTCTCAGAGATAAATAACATTAACAAAAAAAAAAAAAAAAAGACCCGAGCCAAAATCAAATCAGACACTTAACTGACTGAGCCACCCCAGCACCCCTTTAAGGGAATGTTTTTAATATCTACGAGTAAGGAAGACCCTTCTGAGAATGTCACAAACCCAAGAGCTAAAAAGGAGAAAATTTGACTACGATTTAATCCCAAGTTACCGAGTAGCAAAACCACCACAAAGGAAAGCTAATAAATGGGAGAAATATATTTTCCCACAGAGGCAGACGATAATTTTCCCAGCCTACAAAGAACTCTGTAACAACAACAAAAAGTTTTAAAGAGCAATTTATCATTTAAAAAAAAAAAATCTGGTTGGGACCAGCCATAATGATGAACACGCACAAAATGGCAGTGCACTAGCCATTTAAACTTGCAACATAAATGAACTCAAGAGTGTTTCTTTGCCTACTGCATTAGCAGAGTTGAAAATAGTCTTAAAAAAAAAAGAAAAGAAAAGAAAAGAAAACAGTCTTAACACCTGGCACTAGGGAGATTGGGAAAACAAGACTCCTTTCCTGGGGGATGTTTACAGCGGCTTACTATTTGTGGAGAACAATTGGATATTATGGTTTTCTTTCTTTGTTTTTTTTAAGTTTATTTCTTTTGAAAGGGAGAGGCAGTGCTAGTGGGGAGGGGCACAGAGAGGGAGAAAGAATCCCAAGTAGCCTCTGCACTATCAGCATGAAGCCAAGGAGGTGGGGCTCAATCTCACAAACCGTTGAGATCAAGACCTGAGCTGAAATCGAGAGTTGGACACTCAACTGACTTGACCCACCCAGGTGTCCCAAGATATTGTTTTAAAATGTTAAATGTTCACACCCTTTAACACAACAATTTGGCTTCCAGCAATCTAACTGTGGCATTCCTAGTATAATGCATGAAAATGTGTATCTTGGGTGCTCATTACGTTATGTATAAAACAAACAAACAAACAAAAAAATCCCAGAAAACAGCCCAAATATTCATCAGTAGAAAGTTGTCTAAAGAAATGAATTGTGGTACTTCCATAAAATGGAATACCATGAAAATAATAAAGAAGAATGATATAGTCGCATGTATAATAAGATCGGAAGTCAAAAGACAGTTTAACGTTATTTCATTTTGTAAAATGGTACTAATTGTTAATATATACATAGGAGGGGCGTGATCAGATGGTGATCTCACAGTTCCTGAGTTTAAGCCCCACACGGAACACTGGAGATATTTTATAAAAAGTGCAATTACCACAACAATATTCTGAAAAAAGTGACTAATTTTTCACAAAAACTTGCCTGGGAGAGCAGAGGATCTCGACCCAGGGTCCCAGCAGGCGGCCTCGAGCCATGCCCCGCCCCCCAGCCCCACGGGGTCCCGCCCACAAGTCACGCACCTGCTCCTCTGCTCGCAGAAGCCCATCTTCTCCTGCAGCAGGCCCATGCGGATGTTGGCACCCTCGTCCTGTGGGCTCAGTGCCAGCGCCTGCTGGTAGTCTGCCTCCGCAAAGGTCAGGTTGCCCAGCTGAAAGAAACAATCTGGGGCCCAGGGACCCGGGGACAGGGGGCTGAGTGGGTCCTCAAGCCCAGTGCCCAGGAGCCCCAGCCCCGCTTCCCCACCCCCAGGGGATCCTGAGACTGGTGGCTACGAACTCCCGTGGGCGGTGGAGGGCACCTGCCGGTGGTGGAGGGTGCCTGCCGAGGTTTGCCTTGCCTCGGGGCACCTTTCACCAGTAGCCTGATTCTCAGCAGTTTGAACAGACTGTAGCCCTTGTCTAAGGCAGCACTTCCCAAAGTGTGTCCCCAGGGCCCTGAGGCTCTCTCTCCCTCCTCCCGTCCTCCCTCCTTCGGGGGCCTCAAGTGCCCAGCCTGGACTTGGAGGGGCAGGGGCAGCCCGCGCTCACCCCCACGGTTGATGTACAGGCCTTTCTCCTGCTGCTCGTCCCTGAGGGCTTTGTTGAGCAGCAGCACCCCCTCCTGGTAGGCACCCTGCATGTAGCAGTGCACCGCGAAGTCGTTGTAGGCCAGCAGCAGCTGCCGCTGCGCCTGCTGCGCGATGTCCTCCTGGCGCTCGCTCATCATGTCCAGCGCCTTCAGGATGTCCTCCACAGCTGCGTCAAATTCCCAGAGGCGGCGGTACATGATGCCCCTGCGGGGGAGGGGCATGAGGGCCAAGGCACCCCCACCAACCGGGGTGGCCAGCCAGACTGTTGGCCACTCTGGACCATCTTGATCGGGGGAGGTGGCGTGAGGGCCCCCCTCCTCGGCCACTAGCTTAGATGTGGGGCGGGCTCTGGGTTACCACTTGGATAACCTGCTGGTCACTGGTAGTTTCGTTTTACTCAAAAATAGCTTCCACCTTTGTTTTTGGGAAGCAGGTGCACGCCAACCTCTATGCAAAAGACCTTTTTGTGCGTGGGGCGGATGTTTTACCCCACTGTTTATATGCACAAACCTAGGTTCAAGGAAGTTAAACGGCCCCAAATCGTGTACTGAGTCCTGGGCGGGGGGAAGATTCAAACCCAAGCCTGTCCACTGAGCTGGGCTGAGCCTGCCAGCATGGATGCTCAGCAGGCCTGGGGGGCCAAAATTCCCAGGTTAACTGAGGCGGCTGCCTGCCCCTCCTCTAAGGGCGAGAGCAGCTACAACCTTCTCCCCAGCTTTGACCCTAATGGGTTGTAGGGAAAGATTATTAGAGGCTACATGGGGAAACTGAGGCCTGGGGAGGATCAAGGCCTCTCCTGAGTCCACACAGCACGATCCAAGATGGGCACCTCCCCACACAGTACCGGAAAAGAAAGAGGCCTGGATCCAGAGGGTTGTTCTCGATGGCACAGTTGATGCGCTGCAGAGCGTAATGAAGCTTGCCCTGCACGGCTAGGATCCCGGCATCTTGGCGAGCCTGCTGGGCTTGGTCCACCATCATCTTGAGCAGCACCTTGGCCTGTGGGTGCTTGGGGTCCAACAGCAAGGCTCTGTGCAGGTCTCGATAGCAGAGGCTGGGCTGCAGGGGGCCAAGGATGACATCAGGGCCGCAGGCTCAGCTGAGCTCCGACCTGTCCCGTGGTGAAAGCACACCTCCAGGCCTATAGGGGCCTTTCTCTGGGCAGGCAGGCACCGTGTCCCCCATCCTCAGTGCCCCTGCATTGCTATTACGCCTTTTGTTTTTTGCCTCATGAAGGAAGCAGGGAGCATTATGGGAAAATCCCATCCCAGGCCCCATCCCTGCTGGTCCCTCTCCAGATGTGACCTCAGGTGAGCCAGGTCAGCCTGAGTGGTTTCTGCCATAGAATGGGGCTGCAGATGCCTCCTCCTTGGAGAACTTCTTCAAAGCTCACTCGAGGTGGGTGGAGGGTGTGTCCTCCTGACCGTGACAGTCATTTCCCCCCTATCCTCCCACGCACATGCCTTCCCCAACTCCCCTGACCTTTAAGCCCAAGACTACTCTGGCAAGGAACAGATACAGACCTGGGCACAAACAGAAAACATCCCCAGGCAAATACCTTCCACTGGGTAAGCAAATCTGTCAGTGAGTCAACAAACAGTTTTAGCAAGCATTACGTGGCCTGTAGGGTAATTGGTTGGAGGGTGAGCACAGCAAACAGTGTGGACACCAGGTGCGAGCGGAAGTCAGGAGGAGGAAGATGGCAGAGGCAAGGGACAGGGCTTTGGAGCAGGTGGGCTTGGGTTCAAAGGCAGCACCAACGAGAGCTGGCTGTGTGACCTTGGACAGGCCCTCTGGACCCAGCTCCTCATCTGTGAAAAGAGGACAATGGGTTGTATCTAAAGGGGGTTACCTCGAGTCTTAAAGACGAGCATGGGTCAAGTGCTTTGAAGGTGTGTACATGTGACAGAGGTGGAGGTGGCAGGAGGGGCTGAACTCCCACAGTCAGCAATTACTGATAATTACAATAATTATGAGTCTCCTGCCTCGGGAGGAGACTCTCTCACTGAGTCACTGTGGGGCCCAGAAGCCCAGACCCCGGCACGGAGAGGCTCAGGTTTCCGGCTACCCCCAGGATGCACCACCTGGTGACTGAGGTGAACCCACCCAGCCCTTCCTTCGTCCCCCCCGAGTTCCCCCACTCCCATGCACCAGGCCAAGCAGGAACACCAGGCATTGTTCTGGATCCTTCCCTTTCCCTCAAGCCCTCTCACGTCCGTCTCTGTTCCTGACTTCCAAAGGACTGCGGGACTTGCCCCTTTCCTGCCACCCCCATGGCCACCCTCCCTTCTACCTTCCTCTCCAACTGGACGGCACCCAGGCTCCCGGCCTCCCGACCTGCCCCTCCAGCCCAAACTCCACCTGGGAGCCAAAAGGATCTTTTGAAAGCCCACTGCCCCAGGGAGCTCCCCTTTGAGGCTCTTGCTTCCCCAGGAAGAAGTCAGGGTCCTCTTCAGTTCACAAGACCTTGCCTGATGCCCTCTCATACCTGCAGTCCTCTCCTCTCTTGTGACCCCAAGTCTCCCTTGCCCCCAAGCCGTTCCCTATACTGTCTGGCCCCATGCCCAGTGCAGGGCTCCTAAAATGTTCACTGAGGCAAATAAGGAGAGAAAGGGGGTGCCTGGGTGGCTCAGTTGGTTAAGCATCCGACTCTTGGTTTTAGCTCAGGTCACGATCTCACATTATGTGAGTTCGAGCCCTACGTCAGGCTCTGCACCTAGGCGGAGCCTGCTTGGGATTCTGCCCTTCCCCTGCTCATGCTCTCTCTCCCTCTCAAAATAAATAAATAAATAAGCATTTAAAAAAAAAAATAAGGAGACAAAGGAAGGGAGGAGGAAGAGCTGCCTTATCTAATGGAAACTTGGGTGCCCCCACACTCATGAAATCATTCTTTGTGTAATTATCTGCTTAAGGACGTCTCCCCTGGGCTGTGAGTTCCATAAGGGCAGGGATGGCACAGGTTTCTCACCCTGGGGTTTCTGAGGGCCGACACAGGCCTGGCACAGAGCCAGAGCTGAGTGACAACAGGACAACTATGCTGAGTGGTCAGTGACGGCTGGGGACTCTGCCCGGAGAGGACAGTGTCGCCACCACATGGACAGCTTAGCGGCCTCCTGTAATCACAGGGTATGCGGGGGGCACCCAGGCAGGGGGAGGGCCACCCTCGCCCTGCCCTCCCTGCTCTACCTTCTGGAAGAAGTTGTAGAGCCTGGCCCGGAGGATGTAGACGTCGGCATTGGTTGTGCCAAGCTGCACCTCCTTGGTGACGAGCGAGAGGCAGTCCTGGTGCCGTTTGAGGGCCAGGAGACAGGCCATGCTGAGGGTAGGGGGCAGAGGCACTCTGTCCGCCGGGCGAGAGGGGCAGGAAGGGGCTGCCAGGGGAACAAGGACACATGCCGGGCACTCACCATCGGTAACGGAAGCTGGCTTTCTCGGGCTGGAGTGCAGAGGCTTGCGAGAAGATTTTCAGGGCATCCAGGAAGGCACACTGCTCGAGCAGGCACTGGCCCTGGGGACACAGGGGGGAGTCACTCCTGCTTGAAACCCAGCAGCACCTATCAGTTGCAGGGGGCACCACTGAGGCAGGAGGGAAGAGAAACAAGAGACAGGGACACAGCCCTTCAGATCTAGGAGAAAATTCAGGGGACAGAGACACAGAGATGGAGAGACAGGGACAGAGATGGAAAGAGATACAGGGCTAGGGAGACACAGCAAGAGAATTATACAGTTGACAAAAACACAATACAGGGGCACCTGGGTGGCTCAGCGTCAGTTGGTTAAGGGTCCGACTTTGGCTCTGGTCATGATCTCATGGTTTGTGAGTTCAAGTCCTGCATCAGGCTCTGCCCTGACCATGCAGAGCCTGCTTGGGATTCTCTGTCTCCCCCTCTCTCTCTGCCCCTTCCTTGTTCATGCTCTCCCTCTCTCTCTCTCAAAAATAAACAAACATTACAAAAGAGAGGGACAGCAATACAGAAACAGGAACAGAGAGAAACAGCAAGTCTTGGACTTTGTTGGTATTTTGTGACTTAATACTTTTGTCTTGAACTGTGAATGGGGAATGCTCTTACCTTCTTAGTGCTTGAGCCTCTCTAGACGCTAGGTTTGTGTGGCCCAGTACAGAAGCCACCAGCTTCGTGTGGCTGTACAAATTTAAATTAATGAATTAAGTAATACCAAAAAATTAGTTCCCCGGTCACACTGTATCTCAAAGGCTCATCAGTCCCAGGTAATCATTGTAATCAGACCACTGTAATCACTGCAGAAAGCTCTCATTGGGCGATGTTGCAAAACACTTTATCCAGCTCTGGAGGTGGGAGAGGCCACGAGAGGGGCAGCAGGTACAGATGGGACAAGAAGGTCCCTAGAGGCGGAGCTGGTCCCTGGAGCAACGAAAACCCCCACAGCTGAAGGGAGAGCCAACAGGCTTGGGTGTGAGGCGGGCGCCCTGGGTGGGCCTGCGGCAGCCCCAGGCACCTGCAGGTAAAGGACGAAGGTAAGCCGCTCCAGGTATTTGGTGTTCTCCGGCTGGAAGGAGTAGGCCCTTCGCAGGTTCAGGGCGGCCGAGGAGAAGTCACAGAGCTGGATGTAGGCCTCGGCGCGTAAAGCATAGAAGTCTACCTGAGGGAGAGAGGACCCAGGCTGTGTCCCCTCCCCACCATCCGCTGAGGCCTGAGGCTCAGTTACCAGAAGGGACCTAGAGAAGGGGCCTGGCAGGTTCAACGGTGAGGGCAAAGTGTGTGTCAGCAACCGCCCATGTCCACCGCTCACCAGCTGGGAGTTCAGGTGGAGGGCGCGGGAAAAGTACAGCACGGCCATCTCCCAGTCCTCTCTCTCCAAGCACTGCTGGCCTTGGTGATAGCTGGGGAGGGGAGGGGGGCAGGAAGCAGAGGGGCTGGCTCTGACTTTGGCCAGCCCAGGGCATACAGCTGCAGCTGCAGGTGGGTTGGGAGGAGGGAGGCTTGGGTGGAGAGACAGGGTTGGGCAGGTAGACAGACACCCAGGGAGAGGAGGCTGGCCTTCTTGGAGCTCATCCAGGCCACCATCTTCATCTGCTGATGTGGGAGAGCCCTGTTATACAGTTGAGTTCACCGAAGCCCAGAGAGGGAGAGTAACCAACCCAAAGCTGTAGGGCATGTCACTGGCTGTGCAGAGTAGGAACCTGGGACCCTGGGACAAGGTAGTCACTCACTACTCCCTGACTTTGAGGGGCACTGTTAATCCCGTGGCCTTTGGCTTTACATCATCAATGTTCTGGAACACCTGGCTGGTCCCAAAGATGCACTGTAGGGTCCCTTTGGGACTGGATTCACCCATGGCTTTGAGACGTGCTGTGAGGGAGCCGGGTCAAGTTCCAGAGCATCCTAGAACCAAGGGACAGCAAGTTGGGGGAAGGCCTCAGAGATGACCTCTGCTCCACTGACACACTCTCCTCAGGTGTTTTACAGGATGGACGAGGGCTGGAAATGAGGCTGGTAGGAGGCCTCCAGAACAATTTGGGTCCTGATGGCACTCCTAGCCCCCTTCCCCTTAGGGATTTCCAATTTCTCTCCAGTCCTGCTTCTCTCCCTCTCCTATGGTCAAAGTCAAGGGCCAGGGTTCTCGTACACACACTGCCCTCTGCTCTCCTCCTGGTTCCCCTCAGTTCCAGATCCATCTCCTGACACCCAACACTCTAATGTGTCCAGCTGAGGCCCCGCCCCAAGCTGCAGGCCCAGGAGGTCCTGCAGCCCCTCTGGTTATCTTGTGGGACTCTCATGCCCAGCAGGCCAAATTGAGCACTTCCTGCCCCAGGCTTTCCCACCTCGGGGAGTCCACCTCCGGTCCTGTCTGCCTCACTTCCTTAAGATCTCTTAGATCCCTTCTCTTCTCTCATCCTCTCGTCTGGGTCGATGCCATCTCTGTCCGGTCACCAGCTCCGACCACCTCTCCGAACTCCCCACCGGACACAGGTCCCAAGCCCTCAGTTCTCTATGCAGCGGCCAGGGACTTTAATGAATTGCACAACTGATCCCGCCTCTCCTCTCCTGTGCTTAAAACCCTTCTTGAGAACTCAGCCTTGGTCTCTTCCCTCCCGACCCTCTCAGGCACCTCTCTGGAGTTTGTTTTGAATTCCCTTCCGGGAGGACCTCCCGAGGCCCACCCCTGACGTTGCTAGGCAGCATCTCCAGGACGCCCACAGGCTCCGCCCCCCTGGCCACGCCTCCGGAGTCCCTGGGTTAGAGCTGGGAAGAGGTTAGCAAACTTATGGGCGGGGGAGGCTGAGGTACGTCAGGGAGAGGACTTGTCAGGTTTCCGCAGCCAGGCAGGGCCACAGCAGGGGCCAGAGCAAGCCTCTCTCCTCCCAATCCGGAGGTCACGCAAGGGTTCCGCAAGTCCACAAGAAACCCCACAGGAACACTGTGACGCGGCGCCGCGGAATGAGTGGAGGCTCGGGCTCAGCCGCCGCCCCGCTACTTCCGCTCCTTAGGAGCATGGCGGCCCGTGGCCCGCCCGGGGATTGGACGCTGGGGACGGATGGCCACTGCGATTGGTCGAGTCCTGACTGACGTCAGGGCGCGGGGCCTACACCGTGAAAGGGGGCGACATGCGGCCAGACGGCTGCCGGCGACCTACGCTGTGGTTGAGTCGCGCCATGAGCGTGCTCACACTGGAACCCCGGCCCGCGGGGAAGCGGTGGCTGGTGAGTGGCGTCGGGGGCGGGGGCGCGGCGGCGTAGGGGCTCCTGGGCCCTAGCTAGCTCCTGTTCTGCCGTTGTCTCCAGACACCATCCCCCAAATTCCTTGTCTCGGTTATCTTATCTAGAAAATGGGGCCAGTATTCTGACGGGCTGTAAGCTTCCAGGAACTCTGCTCCTGCTCCAGGCGCTCTGCCCACTCAGCTCCCGGGGCACTCAGCCTTCTGGCGTCTCCGGGGTTTCTGGCCCCCCTTCCTCACTCTACCCTGCCTTCCGTTTCCCTTTCTCGGGTTTGGGTCCCAGGGGGCGCTGTAAGCCAGAGGGTCGCGAGAGATGTCGCACCTCAGTTTCCCCGGTGCCGCCCGCAGGTGGCCGGTCTGGGGAACCCTGGACTGCCCGGCACGCGGCACAGCGTGGGCTTGGCGGTGCTGGGGCACCTGGCGCGGCGTCTGGGTGTGGCGGACACCTGGGCGCGCGACCGGCGCTGCGCGGCCGACCTCGCCGTGGCCTCGCTCGAGGATGCCCAGCTGGTCCTGCTTCGGCCCCGGCGGCTCATGAACGCCAGCGGGCGCAGCGTGGCCCGGGCCGGTGAGTCAAGGGCACCAGAGATGGGCCGGCCGGGAGGGCGTAGGGGCCACAGAAGGGGTTCTGGGGCGGCGGTAGATCTCTTCACCTCCAGGTGCCTGTTGAGCTGCAATTGCTGCCTCTGGCCTCGGGTACTTGAGGGGATCTCAGTTTCTTTATATGTGAAATGGGGTCAATTGCGGCCCCTCCTCACGAGAGCCGTGAGTCGGGACAACGCCCTCTGGGCAGATGGGCAGTAACCGGGGCCACCATTTCCCTGTGCCAAGCGGAGCTGTTTGGGCTGACTGCTGAGGAGGTCTACCTGGTGCATGATGAGCTGGACAAGCCCCTGGGGAAAGTGGCTCTGAAGCTGGGGGGAAGCGCCAGGTGAGGCCCTGAGCAGGTCAAGGTGGGCTAGGGAGGACAGCCTCCCAGTTGGAGTGGGGGTTAGGAGTGCCGATCCCAGTCTCGGCAGGGAAGAGGGGTGCTCTGACCCCAGCCTGGGCTGGGAGGGGTGAAGGGTGCTGACCCAGGGAAGCACTAATCGTCCCTCCCATATCCCTTGAAGGGGCCACAACGGAGTCCGTTCCTGCATTAGCTGTCTCAACTCCCATGTGAGTCTGCCCCTTTGCCCTGCCCTGGGTGTGGTGGGCCAACATGGGGGCCTCCCGCACCGGGCATCAAAACTCCCTGGGTCCCCCTCTGGCTCCCCCACAGGCAATGCCGAGGCTGCGGATAGGCATCGGGCGCCCCGCCCACCCTGATACAGTGCAGGCCCATGTGCTGGGCTCTTTCTCCGCCGCTGAGCAGGAACTGCTGCCTCTGTTGCTGGAGCGAGCCACCGACATGCTCCTGGACCACATCCGGGAACGAAGCCAGCGGCCCTCGTTAGGCCCTGACCTCAGTGAATTCCTGCCTCCCTAACCACCATGCCCACACATCAGCCAGGTTCACAGAGGTGCCGTGCCAACCTTTGGTATCCACTTTTTATAGACCTCTTCTCTGGGCTGCCCCAGGCCACCTATAGATTAAAGAGAGGGGACTATGGCCACAATGGTCCACTTCTGGGATGGGGATTGGTCTTCTCTCTGTGTTTTACTTGGAAGGTAGAGAAACTTCAGGAAGACTAAACTTTTTGAACCTTTTCGGAGAACCAGAGGTGTGAATCTGTAAAATTAAAGATGCGGCATGGAAGCTGAGGCCTCCTTAGGGGATTCCCACGCTTCCCCTGCCAGCGGAGGAGGGGCCGACAGGGTCTGGCAAGCCCCCCTCCCAGGTGATGCGTGGGCGTGCCTTAGCCCACAGTGAGGCCTTGCCACCCTTTTCTTTGGCCCATTTTACAGATGGGGAGACGGAGGCTTAGAGGGCTCCATGCGGCTGCAGTGTGGCAGAGCTACATGATCTGTACCCAGGGCTGGCTGCCATCTTGCCGTGCCTGGGGCCCTGGCACGCTTACCTCAGGGCTGCTGTGCACCCGGAAGGTTCCCACATGGGTGGTGTGTGAGAGCAGCCTCAGGTCCTCGGGGTTAGGTGGGATGTGGGCCCGTCGAGGCACCAGGCCCAGGTCCCCTGGCTGGTAGGGTGTGATGCTGGATGGCGGCTGACGCGGAGACCCCATCTTGGGTGGCTGGGTGCCAGGCTGGCTGTGGAGAGAGGACTGGCATCACCACCTGCATTTCCTAGTTGAGGACGCTGAGGTTCAGAGAGGCTTTGGGAAGCCAGGGTTGTGGCCCAGGGTCAGCTGAGAACAGCCCTTGGACAAACAAATTCCACAGCTGCTTCTGAGGTCATACAGGGTCACTCACTCACTCACCTGCCCTTGGGTGGGCTGTGGGCCTGGCTCTCCTGATTGAGATACACAGCCAGCCGGGGGCTGAGGACCACGGCTGAGCTGAGCATGGCCAGCACTTGGTGCAGCATCTCCTTGAGCTGCAGCTGGAACACGACATCAGAGTCGCTGTCCTCCTCATCAGGTTGCATCTGCCGGTCGAGGGTGGGGATGGGCCCGCGGAGATCAGGCTCGTAGTGACCCCGACACCCACCTCTGGGAAACACCCCAGAGCCCCTTTTCTCCAAGTTTACCCTGGCTGTGGTGGGATACCCATTCTCCAAATGAGAAGCCTGAGGCACAAGCCCTTCCAGGGCCTCAGAGAGGGACTCCAGCAACTTGGAGACCTTCAAGGGATCTTTGAAGTACAGAAATCAGGAAAGGACTTGCCAGGAGTCTCTCGGGGGGAAAGGCAGCGGGGTGGGTGTTGGGGGGGCTCTGGCCCTGGCCCAGCCTTCTCCGGGTGTCCTGGTTATCTCCAAGCAGTGTCTGACGTTGGCTCACTCCCCCCGCCCCTTTCACCCACTTTCTGTCACCTGTAGAACGTCCCGTAGGATGAAGGTGGCCCGGGCCAGGGCTGCCTCCAGATTTGCCCGAACCTTCTGCTCTTCAGTCAGCTCCCGCTGTAGCTGTTGTGCCTCAGCCTGCTGCCTCTCCAGCTGCAGGTTCAGCTGGTCTCTCTGACTCCTGGGCCCAGGACCAGGACGAGTCAGCCACCTCCCTGCACTCCCTGCACTCGGCGGTTTCTCTCTAGCCCCCAGGAGCCCTCATCCAGCCCCAGGCCTCGATGCCCCTTGGGAAAGGGGAAGTCACCGGCCGGAGTCAGGTGGCCCAAAGGGGATGGCCTCAAGCTCGGCCCCCCTCGCTCCCGCCGCGCGCCCCTCCGCAGGGCGCACCTCAGCGTCTGTGTGTCCTGCTGCAGCTGCCGGAGGCCCTGCTCCAGTTGGCTCAGCTGGAGGCGCAGCTGCTCGGCCTCCACTGTGCCCTGCTGCTGCTCGCGGCACTTCTCAGTCAGCATGACAATGATCTGCGGGTGCGGGCAGGTGGCCATACCCTGGCCCCTCTGTGGGCCCTCAGCCTGACCCCCCTCCCCCAGCTCCAGACTCCCCCAGAGCTCACCCCCTTGTACAGAGAGGCCAGCCAAGGCACTGGGGGCCCAGCACCATCTCTGGGCAGAGCCCCCAGTGGCCCGGGGCAGGTCCCGCTTCAACAAGTTATGGGGGCTTTCGACCAAATAAATAAAAACCAGAGGTGCGCCCAGCACCCAGGATCCCCCACAAAGGACCCTGTCCCGTTGCTGCTGCCTCCCTCATGAGTTGGCTCCAGCCCGGGACCCAACCCTGCCGGGCTGTGTTTGCCCTGAAGCAGCACCCCTAGGGTTCCCGCCTGCTTTATGCACCAAATGCCCTGTGACAAGGTCCTGGCAGGCACACCTTACGGTGGCCTCTGCTATGCCTGGCCATGACCTTCTGGGCGTTCTCCAATAGATCCAGCTGTTTGCACAGCTCGTCTCGGGTGCCCTTTAGCTCCTCGTTCTCCTGTAGCAGCTGTGCGCCTTGCCGGGATATCTTGGACAGCTGCAGGGTGACCGTGTTGTTCTCCACGATGGCCCGCTTTGTCGTGTCCCACATCTGGCTAGTGGCCACCTTTCGGTACTCAGTGGCCACCAGGTTCACGCGCTGGATGATCTCCTTCCTCAGTCTAGTCATGGGTGGGAACGAGGGGGTATCAGGCGGAGTGGGCACAGGCATTGCCCTCCCGTGTGGGGTTCCCCAGAGCGCTTAGGGCCGCCTCTATGCTCTATCTCCCAAAAGGGGCAGGGCTCCAGGTAGAGCCCCTGTAGACCCTTTGGCATTTTGATCCATATCAATGTATTATTCCCTATTAAACAAATGTAACTTAAGTCATGAAAAGTGGCAAGAGGAAGTCCAAGGATTTCCAGTCCCATGTGAGGGCTAGAGCTGGGAGCTTATCTATTTTTTCCACCCCTCCTAACATCACCAGCCAGGATTCTGAGGAGCAGCAGGATGGGGAGTCCCTGAGCTAGTGCAGTCCCCCCAGTTTGAAGCTGAGGCTCAGAGGCCTGAGCTTGGCGTGGCCTCAGCACCCAACCTGCCCACCTGTCCTTGTCCAGCACAGACTTCTTCTCGAG